GAGCACTTGGCTCAGAAGTGCCTTCTTACACTTACACGTCTTACACGAACAACTCGGACTACTTCGTAGGATGCGTCCTAGAAGCCTTCGGCTAATGCTATCGGATAAACATGTGGTCAGCAGGTAGCCATACGCAACGATAGGTAGACACCTTGTATATCTCTACATACCTCATGTACGAACCCTGAAGGCTATCTACATCGTGTATGTGGGTAGGTGCCAGGTAAGTAGTGAGTTGATCTTAGCTACCTACCTCTAAGGGAGGGTGGTACCCATTATTTATCTGACATCTTTGGGGTCGAATCGGTGGATTTTCTTTCTCGTCTCGTTCGCCTTTCTCCTATTGTCTATCAACCCATGGCATTCGAGCTCTTCTCAACAGAACCGAATGGAACTCCACGGCATAATAGGGATATGCCATATCAGTCGACATGCATCGGAATGCTCCGGATGTGCGCGGTCACATAATTATCCATCGTATTTACAATGGCCTTCTTACTTGGGGTCTTGATCCACAAGCGCTCCAATGATTGCTCTGCAAGTTTCGATTCTGAGAAAGCGGCATAGAAATGTCCGTAGAGAGAGTAACCCAAACAAACTGACGTCTTAGTAACTCTAACCCTGTTAGCTATACGTAAACAGTTAATCGATATAGCCCAGTTCGGATCGATATGTCCATGGGAAAGTTGTCCTGTCGGCTTTGCAACGCACCAAATTACACTTGCCGTCGGGTCTTTCGAAACCAGACCATCGTAACTTGAAACCAGTTTCAAGTTGAACCAAACTTGGATATCACTAAGATGTGATGTGTAAGCTATAGATCCCAGCCTCGGTAACTCGGCTTACAGGCGGCTATCGTGGGCCAGTGTTGAGAGGATGAGCTTCGTTCCAACACCCGTTTCCAGCACCCAGTTTTATGGGGGCTTGGGATTACTTTCCCGAGAGGCAACGTAGAGTTTCGCCGAAGACGATTAACTTCTAAAGAAGAGAGAGGTACTTTTGAGGTCTCGGGAGCGAAATACGGCTTTAAGACTCCGCGAAGTCGGTTGTTGAGAGATTGGACCCGAGCTGGGTTCTGTGAATGAGGACGAGCAAGAATCCAACATAACCAAGTGGGACGCGGACGAATCTTTTATACTAATTCAATAGCGTCCCTCGGCAGTCGGCAGAGATGGTGGTGCGGGATCTGACCATCGTCGGTTTGTGCGACAGTCCGATCTAGAATGTTGTCGTTCACTCTAAGATCCAGGCCGTGTTACAGCACCGCGGCAACGGGTCGGGTCGAACATAAGCACTAGTAGCCCGTTACATATTCAAATCTCGGTTATCCCGCATGATCGGCGAGGTTCCCGTCGTGTGGTTTGAGTTTGCGAACTGGTGGGTTGACCTAACCCCCTGGCAACCAATGAACCTACCAATGCGAACCCGGATCTGGACCTTGCGATCCGCCACTACTACGACGATGGGGCGCTGCGAGGAGGCCGCGCCGCCCTTGCATGATCTGATCTGGCCTGCTTGGGCGAGGACGAGGCGAGCCTTTCGCTACGTACTGGGAGGGAAGACTTCGTGGGGGGCTTGGTACAGGTACAGGTACGTGTCTTACAGGCGAGGGCCGGCTATATGTATAAGTATGATGGCACATAACGTTCCCTTGGAAATGGCGTGTTGTTTTAACCCACGTTATGTAGATGGAAGGTCAACGCACGCACACACATACATACACATACACGCACAAGGCGACCTAAAGGAAGTGTCTCCGGGAGTAGCGTCTGACTCTTTCTATAGGTAGTCATTAATATTAGGTTATAGTACTACGGTAGTAGGCATTCCAATTCCAGGGTAGCCCCCCTTTTTTCCTTTCTCCATTTGGATGCATACAGATAAGTATGAAGACACTATGACGTTTCCACGCTATACATGTTGTACATATATACGCTCTCGGCGTCGATGGGTTCGTATGTAGATCGCAGATCCCGTCTCGGGCGGGTTGGGGTCCAGGGGTAGGTAGGTAGGTAGGTAAATACGCCCCGGTTCGTGGGGAGACGGAGACCCCGGGAGAGCTTACACAGTATTATTTATTCCACGGCTTCGTTGGCTCGGCCCGCTGATATCCGGGTTTGGGTTTATGGGTGGCAGGGTGGGTGGATGGTGTTGCCTGCCTACCTAGGTAACTAAACTAACCGGCTGGCGGTTGGAGTTACACAGTGTTAGGTGGGATTCGTGGCTACGGCTGGGCTGTTGTTGTTGGTTGTTTCGTTTGGAGGGGAGGGGCAGAGGGATGGGATGGGATGGGATGGGGGAGGGGAGGGAAATGGAATAATTGACGAGTCATCTATTTGAGATGGAGGTTCGCATTTGCGAGACCGGATCGTGGTCGATGTGTTTCTTTTCGTGCGGATGTTTGCTGCCACACTCCTGCTCTCGGTGCCCCGTGCCGCATTATGTGGTATTGCGGAAGGTAGCCTTGTATAATTAGCGGATAGCAAATTCGGTGTGTACTACACCCCCTGAGTGTTGTGACTGCTATCTGTGGTGGTTTATGTTGATTGGGTGCTTTTTTATATATGTCATGGGATAGATGGATAGGTAGGTAGGTAGGCAGGTAGGCGGGTGGTGACTATAAGGCGAAGACTCTTGTGCGCTTTTCCTTGTCTTATATCGTTGCGGAATAAGTTTCGCTGTGAAGACTGTGTTGTAAGCGTGTTTATGGCCCCTCGACTACCTAACCTACTGTAGGATGCTATCCCATTGAGAGGGGAGATAGAACAAGAATCATGTCTTATGGTGTGGTGTCTCTCCCTCATTGAGTCCTGGCTGGGTGCTACATGAGTAGATAGATTTGTACGCACGGGACATTCCCCGACTATCGGGTTTATCCTAGTGTCGCTGATGATAGACCAGGTTTATGTGGAAAGACTACCTAGTCGATGTTGGGGTTCGTGGATAGCGAGCTTTGATACGCTTTAATTAGAAGAGGTGGTAGATAAGGGCTAGGTATGTAGATTGCTGCGCGTTTAGCTCAGATACTACGGTTGTTATGGGAACAATGGCAATTTAGGTGCGTGATTTGGTCGCCTCACCTCGTTACGGTCAACCGGTTCTGGATTGAAAGGAGTACGTTAGGTATATCCGTTGGAAGTATCGCTGGAATATATCCCTATGGGGTAATATAAGGTAATGATATTGAGAGTCGGGGGAGTTGGTATACGGGCGGATTATTTTAAGGGGTCGTCTACATTACCTAAACTAAGCTCTACAGATGTATTTTCGGGAGTTATCTAGAACGTAAGAGAATTATGATAAGCCTACCAGAGCCTATATAGTCTGTCCGGCAGTCGTTTGTCGTTCAGAGATGAGGCTGGGCTATTGTTCTCGGCTTTGGGCATAAGGTGCTTGACAGTTCGGAGCTATGCTAGAAGGTATCAGATCGGATTGGTAAGTGGTTAAAGGATAATATGTCCTCATTACTCACTACTGCTACTTAACCGTGGGTAAAGACTTGGCTACTCGTACGTATAAATAATGGGACTGTTTCGCTTATGTATAGGGCAGCTTCGGCCGGTGAGGGTGAATATATCGTATGATTTACCCCTGAGCAGATCCACTAGGGGGTGGTCAGTTTTCTAAAACTTGGGATTAATTAATTAGGTAACTAAAGTATCAACTCGAGCAGAATGATGTTGTAGAAGTAGGCTATGAGAGTGGCTCGCTAAGTATTCGTCGACTTCCAAGCCATAAGGCGAAGGAGGATCTTGTCTTATGGGAATCACCCCCCTGTTAGCATACCTGATTACCAAAGTTATCACTCGAAACCTTGGAGATATGAAAGAATGGTTTAATGTGAGATTTGACATGATAAGGTTCCTCGAAGCTGATATCCTTATTGTGATGGCTTGGTCAATAAAGGGAAGGAGCTCCTATTAGTCCGCTGTTCGATCAAATTTCTATAATGCCAAGTATTTACTTCATACATATTGATGGTATTCATGATACCTATATTCCCTGTGCTATCTTACTACCTACCTCGCCGACCGCCCTAATAATTTATTAGAATCACCTGCCATGAGACAATACGGCTACCCCCTTGGAGTAGCTACTATATAGTAGGTCTGTATAAGAAGAGTATCGCTCCCTATCCTTAGAAGTGACACGAGTTACAATAGTCACCAATATTCAATATTTGACCGTGAGGTGGCCTTGATAACGTTGGGGATGGTGGTAATACCTTTAACGTGAATTCTAATAACTAGGCCGGATTAAGATAGATACGAGAAGGTCGGAAGGGCCTCGTTAGGAGAAGTCATAACGTGAAAACTCCAAATTCTACATAAGTACGGTATAAGCATGCGACTATTCCAGTCCCTTGTCCTCTTAGGCTGTTGTCTAAGAGTGCGTGATGATGGAAGCTTCTCCTACTACATTGTCTGATCTTCATCCGTCGTGTCTGTTGGCAGAGAGAGCTAGGCTGTGTACGATTACCTACGTATTCCCTAATAGTTATATACCCCTGAAGCCAAAGCACACAGAGCTGAAGTTGTGCTTTAGGGATTCACTGCAATAAACTAGCATCACACTATGTGGTTATTCTAGGCTCTAATATCCTAGTTGGACATAGTTAGCAGAATAATAGTTACTCCTATCGTTTCTAGATAATTCATCTGTATCTGTGACGTGAATTCTTCATTATGAAGTACTCTTAAGAACTAAAGTTAAATAATTAAGAAATATCCATTGTCTAGATTTCTATAGAATTAGTTGAAGTTAACTAGGTATACAGCTTTGAAGTTACCCCTGAGAAAGAAGCAAGTGACTCTTATTGGTGAGAGGTCTAAGTTAGGTGTCTTAAAGTACCAGTTACGGATCCGTACCTTAGGTACACATTGTGCAAGCACGGACCACAATATCATGACCCACCGTCATCCCACTATGTAGTCAGAGCTACATATGTAATTGGCGGGGTAATGTTTGGCGATCCCTTAAAGTTGCGGTAGTCGCTAAGAGCTTCGCAGCTTCACCTATCGTTATCAACTCTAATTCATGTTGGTCTCCACCGCCATGCGTCAGGCATGTGCATATTATTATGACTTCCAGAAGTTACGACGCCTTTCAAGACTAAAGACCTTCCAACTACAATAATTATTTGCAAGATATCCGCAATATATCTGCAATAATTAATCCGAGCCTCGTCTCCCAGCCTCGTCTCCTATCATCTTTCGTTACCACCATTAACATCAAATCCACCGATAAGCACTGGCCGCCCTTGGTAATCTGTGATGATATGGCGAAGGACACGAGCTCCATTGGCGGGGAGCTCCAAGTGAGCAAATGCTACTGCGAGACCGGTCGCAAGAGAGTAAGCACCTCGTCGAGCTTGCTTGCTAAATATTTGAACATTCCTACTAACGTTGTTGCTTTGTAGCATCGCATCTCCATGTCAATACAGATACCCTTCGAGGCCAATCACCCCGCAGGCGAAATCAACGTGAATAACGATGCGGATGGACAAAGTATCGACGATACTAGTGATTCGGAGGAAGCCATCGAAGATGACGATCTCCATATACTTGAAAACGAGGATGATTATGATGATGGTATAACGCAATCGGATATAGAAGATGATCTGGCCTTTATAGAGGCTTTAGTGCCCAATGAACCAGAAGATTTATCCACGGATGGGCTCTTCGACCCTGGAATGGATGACTTTGATGACTTTACCGACCAGGAACCTACTACGGAGCCGGATGGCGCATTGGAGGAAGAAGGACCACCGCGGATTGCGACATGGAGGTTGAACCTTACGGCACTATCACAAGTCTACAACATGTACATGGTGGCATACACAGACAAGATATACGTCTCCCGACCCCGCAGCTGCATTACAAACTCCTTGCCCGCGGAGCCTGACCTCATCCTACGACCTCAGCCTAGCGCGATGGGTATCGAAGTTGGTGGGTACCTAGATAATATATTCCCGCATCAAGTAAATCATCTGGTCGTTGGTGATCTTGGCGATCAGGAAGTTCTACTACTTGCCTACGACGATGGCGATGTCATCGGATACTACACTCGGGCTATTGAAAATGAGCTTCTGCGCCGTGAGAGAGACGGCCGAGATCTTGAAATCGTTCCCAAGCCATTCCTTCACGAGAATGTGGGGAAGAGCGCCTGGGGGCTTGCAGTTCACAAGAACTCTCGCCTCATAGCCGTCAGTTCCAACCTGCACACCGTCTGTGTTTTCGTCTTTGCCTTAACCGGGAAGCATTATAGACATAATCCCGGAGTCGACACGGTTGAATTCTTTAGGAACGTCGCTAAGGATCTAAATGGTAATACATCAGAATCATTAAACAGCAGTCCCACACCCGATAAGGAGACTGGCTATGTGTCTCCGCTGGAAAAAGCAATCCGACGTCGAGATGCCAACTGGCGAATTATCCTAGAAACTGGTCGGGAAGGAGCCAATATCCCGAATATCGCCTTTGCCAACGACAATGAGGGGAAAGCAGATAAGATTGTAGCGATAGATATCGAAGGAAGGCTCTGGGTGATGGATATTTGGAACTTTTCCGGCCGTCCTTTCGTCAAGATCGAGGACCTCTACTCAGCTCGCTCACGGAACTCGAGGTTTCATTATGACGCTTTCCGCAAGTAAGTTCGCCCCATGTTGCTATATCATTACGAATATGCTAACAGAAGCCAGGCCTCGGGGCTGGGGTGTTCTCGTACTCCCTGAAAGCAGCTTCCTCCCGGCAGCCGATTATAAGGACTCTCTGGGCCTAGAACAAGATAATATCAGATTCATTTCCCACGAGAGGATTGGACATTGGTTTGATATCAGCAGGGGTATCAAAAACGTGAAGAACAATTCGCCGGTTCATCCGTGGGTGAGATGGGATAAAATCTCACGATTCTCGTTCAACCCCGTTGAGCACAGGGGTATACCACCTGGGGGTTCATGGTTTGAATTCGACCAGAGGATGAAGGTCCCTGACTTAAGCGCCCCGCTGGAGTTTTGGCCAGGCAAAACCGGCCCTGGACAAGAGGAACCTAAGACCATTCTCACAGATGGAAGCAGTATTCTACGAACATACGAGGTCGATCTTGAACTTCGCAGTTTTGAGGAGGGTGGTATAGGTATAATGTTTGAGAAAGCCATCGACCAGTCTCGACCTCCACATGCAGTGACCCCAGCAATGAGAATATCTCATGAACGCCTGGCGAACCTCATACACGTCCCGGAACTGTCGCTCGTCGTAGCCGGCTCATTGTGCGGGCGGGTGGCGCTTGTCACTTTGACGCGTCCCCCAAAGAATTTCCTATTCAAGCGAGGCTTCAAGGTTGAGGCCGTCCTGCCCCTGAAACGGGATGAAGATAACGAGATGCGACCTATCTGCCCCTTACTAGGGGTGGCTGTCGGACCAGTGCCGTTCTCGGGAAATGTAGAACGAGCAACCGGTCCTGTTGGCCGAAGACGATACCGCATCATGCTTCAGTACTACGACCTCAGAATTCTCAGCTACGAAATATCTCGAAACTCATTAACAGACCCCCTCTCCATTGTATGAGGGCCACGAATTTCTTTCTCTTCTGTACAAAATCACTTTCAAGATACCCAGGGTTTCGTGGGATGTTTTCGAATCGAGGCTGGGCTAAACCAGCAGGCGTTTAGGTTGCATAAGGACAAGGGAGGACGGACGAGGCTCTTGAATCATTTGTCATGTTGCATGGCGTTCCCGTGAAGGATTGAAAAAGGAACCAAAAAGGTGACAAACCGAACAAATTGGCATGAATAAGGCTTGACTTGCTCAGCTTAGCTTTTCAGCTACTACATGGCTAAACGCATAGGTACTACGAAATGCCGCGGAGGTTAACCCGTGGGGGGACCAGACCAGCCGGACAGGGATTGGTTTCTAGAAAAAGCCACCTGGACTAGGGTAATTCGAGATAGTTGAATTTGGGCTCACGCTCGCTTTCTGAACAAAACCCTTACGTATCAAGATTACGCAGTGACTTACAAACTAAGCTTTACCCATAGATGGCATTCCGAGAGTGAATTGAGACTCGTATAATCAAGCACGTTAATGGCGAGGGTAATGTACGTCGTGTTTTAATAGTATCACTTGATTTCAAGAAACCAATAGTTATTCTGTTTTATGCTCATAACGCGAATCCGAAAAAAATGATATGCATACGTAGGCTGAGGTACATACCTAAGGTACGTTATATCCAGATCAGATGCCAAGACGCGATTTCGTAGGGTAATGATAAATCAATAGAACAGGAGCAACTTCTGATTGGATGATAAATCAAAGATAAGGCTTGAGCTAGCCTTTCCATTTAGAGTTAGGGTAATGCGGGTCACCTATTTATTTCCGGGGATTTGTGGGGCAGGTTTTGTCATTCGATAAGGTAAACTTCCTGACTGACTGACAAGACAGATATAAGTCTTAGGGTTGATATTTAATAGCACCACGGCTAAGTGGGAATGTTTAACCTAGCATGGCTAGTAGGTAGCTTTACATACAAATTTATATGTTGTGGTACTAAACATTGATACTTTTTAATATAGAACTCTTGAATCTTATTTTGATAAATAAGCACCACTTTGGTTAGTATCGTTGAAAAGTTGATCTTTCCATTGATGTTTAGTACCATAACATATAAACTTATATGCAAAGCTACCTATTAGCCATGTTGGGTTAAACATCCCCACATAGCCGTAAGTGCTATTAAATATCAACCCCGAGACTTGTACGCCCAATCTGCCAATTCAGCTCTTCAGCCCAAACCTACTAGGTTACCTAGGTTAGGTACCTAGGTAGTAATCTACTAATAATCTCCGGCAGCCTCATGCGTTTTCCTCGCTTCGCGACACGAGACTGTGAAACGATGCGGTACCGTCGTAGGCAGCTCGAGTAACACGGACGAACTTGGACGTTCTGGAAGGTTGCCAAACATAGCTTTAGGAGGTATGTACATAGCGTTGGACCGAGAAGTCGACGGCTTGACATGATGCAAATGGCCCGTACCTCAAGCCGGAAATTGTTAAGGCGGTACTTACATAGTAGACTAGAAATTGCTTGGTCTCAATTAAGCAATTGGGACCTAATGTCGATCCCGCCACTAGTGGTTCCCCTGTCTCTGAGAAGTTCTGCCGGAAAAGAGATTGAGGACTGGGAGACTTTGATACGGGAAAGAAGAAGAAAATACCTCGTTTAGGTACTCGTCGTGTTTATTTATGTTCAACGAGCGCGGGATGCGTGGTGGTTTAATTAGCTTAGCAGTTAGCATTTGCTTACATGTGAAGGGATTGCGATAAATCCGTACTTGAGACGAAGACGTCTAGGTTAGGAGGTAGTACAACTAGTTACGCAAAAATAGAGTCGGTCGCAAATGTTTCAAGAGAACTTGGCAGCTTGGGGCTAACTAATTGTTTTTAGCAATTGTTTTAAGCTTCGACGGTGTCGAGACGAGATGAAAAGTACCCTCGCCATTTGTATCCAGTTATAGGTATACTATGTACACTATAGACGGGCTTGTTCCGATCTCAGCCCCATATCGCGCGAACTCATCCACGATACAGCAGAGATAGGAATTGTTCGGGCTGAAAGCCGGCGCTCCCATTCGTCTGCTCCGAGGGCGTTGCAAATGGTTTGCAGGGTAGCGGACAAACTATTTCGTAACAGATACGCCCGTCCCACGCGATCTAGAGGCTCGAGCTTTTCTGCTTTACATAGCTAGACCAGGGACCTGCATTGATTGATGGACCCTTGGACTTGGGTTTTGACGACAACGGTGAGAGAAGAATATCGATTTCGTGGATTTTTAGGTACTTACATATATCGTAACGTCGTTTGGGATAGAGGGTAGGTATGGGATAGGTAATGTATCCATCGCCTTACCTGTATTGTATGAGGTCATGCAATGCGGAAAGTTAGCATCACCACCACCACTCGGATCTTTTTAGCCAAGGGCAATTGGGGGGCGTGCCCCTGACGCTGCGGCTACCTACAGAGTAACTCCACGCACCCCATATTATGGAAATATACACTATCTATCTAGATTAGAACGAGAGAAGGACGAACGCCATAAGCAGCAATGCTAAAGTGGATATAATAGGAATTTCTCGGAGATGCAGCTGTACGTTGATCTCCAGCTAGAGGGCTCTATCTATCTACTACCTACCGGCTGATGCGAAATAGATCTGATCCCAACCGGATGGAAATGTGAGCAGTATTGCCGACATATGTTACTGTGATATTTACAACCACATGGCATTAGATGTAAGTCTTTCTTGCGTACACTATTTACCTAAGTTACCCAAGGTACCTTAGGTAGGTAAGGATTTAGTATTAATTGTATCTGTCCCCTTCGTCGTGAGGCTATAACTACAGTCCTTATATAGGTAGATAAAGGGTTCCTCTAACTAGCCTTGGGCCAGCGATGTCGCTCAAATAACGACGCCTTTCGCACAGCCGGAACTAGTAACTCACAAGTACAAATTCAGATGCTCTAGTGTATGCTCCCCGTAAATACGAAAGTACATGCGTGTAAGCCTCTAGTGGAGTTACCTGAGGTAGGTACATACCTACATACATACATACAACATACATGGGGGTTCCTATCGTAAACCTTACAAGCTTCCATGTATATAGGTAGGTACCCAGGCATCATTAGGGTTTGGTTGGGGTGCAGCACCCCGGTACCTGCTAACTGCTCGATTACATACAGTTACAGGTAAGACGGAAACATCTGATTGGCCCGATAGTTATCTATCTTCCCAAATTTGGTTCCGTCTTTCTGTTAGTTAAGGCAAGGCCCGGCCGGACGCTTAAAAGTCTTGCTTTAAGTCTAAAAAAACCAACGAGTCCACTTCGGTCCATCTGCCACTTCGAATAAGTATGTATATGTATGTCGCCTCGATTCCCCATGCTGCACTTGCATGTCAACCGAGTTCTGGTCGTCGTCTTTTTGTTTTTTTCCTTTTTTAACTAACTTTTATTCGCCCCTCTCTTCCTCTGCTCTCTCTCTCCCTCTCTCTTCCTTAACTAACCGAGCATCGTCTATCTACAAGCTCCCGACCCCCGGTATCATTTATACTTTTCGAGCCGGCTTATAGACGTTAGTTACATGTTACATACATACAAAGGACATTGAAAACGACCGGCTGTTTTTAACCCCGTTGACCTCCGAATTTCTCGACTAAGTACCGACATCATGTCGTGGTCACCCTCCTACAATTGGACGGGTGCGCCCGCCGTGTTCGACGGCAGCAATCCCGAGACCGGCGGAGATTCTAGTATGTATTATAATCGCAATCACTAATTTTCACCCAGAAGAGAAAACGAGAAGTAGGTAATGCGCGCGGGATCAGACCGAAACTAACACGATTCTTACTTAAACAGGCACCGAAAACTTGAACCAATGGTACCAATCAGGCGACCAGGCCTTCATCATCGTCTCGGCATGCATGGTCTTGCTCATGGTGCCCGGCATCGCGTTTCTATACTCGGGCCTGTCTCGAAGAAAGTCGGCCTTGTCTCTGATCTGGGTTGTCATGATGTCCTTCAGCGTCATCATCTTCCAGTGGTACTTCTGGGGTTACTCGCTGGCCTTCAGCTCGACGGCCACCAACGGCTTTATCGGCGACTTACATCACTTCGGTCTCATGAACACCCTCGCCAAGCCTTCGCCCGGATCACCGCTCATCCCTGAGCTGCTGTACTCTTTCTACCAGGTAAGTTTTTTTTTTTGGTTTTTTTTTTTTCAGCTAGTTAGAACGAATCGAGTTTCTAGTTTTATTTTATTTTGTGAGTTACGAGATTTAAAATGCGATAACTAACATACGATCTAGATGATGTTCTGCGCTGTAACCGCGGCCCTCGTCATCGGCGCGGTCGCCGAGAGAGGTCGCATGCTTCCCGCTATGGTCTTCGTCTTCTTCTGGGCCACGCTCGTATACTGTCCCCTCGCCTGCTGGGTTTGGAATGTTAACGGATGGGCTTTCAACTACGGTGTTCTCGACTACGCTGGGGGTGGACCCGTCGAGATCGGTTCCGGTCTATCCGCTCTGGCCTACTCGTGGGTTCTCGGCCGCCGCCACGAGAAGATGATGCTCAACTTCCGACCTCACAACGTTTCCCTCGTCACGCTCGGTACCGTTTTCCTTTGGTTCGGCTGGCTGGGTTTCAACGGCGGTTCTGCCTTTGGCGCTAACCTAAGAGCTACAATGGCATGCTGGAACTCTTGCCTAACTGCTACTTTTGCCGGTATGACATGGTGTCTGCTCGATTTCCGTCTTGCGAGGAAGTGGTCCATGGTTGGTTGGTGTTCCGGTGTCATTTCTGGCCTCGTTGCTGCTACGCCTGCGTCTGGTTTTATTCCTCCTTGGGCATCGATCATCCTGGGTGTTGTCACTGGCGTCTGCTGTAACTTTGGCACTAAAGGTACGTCAGATTGAAACCACGGTAAAGATTTGTGCTAACACGTTTGAAAATAGTCAAGTTCCTAGTCAGAATCGACGACTCCCTCGATGTGTTCGCTGAACACGGTATCGGCGGTATTGTTGGTCTCATCTTCAACGCCTTGTTCAGTGCAAATTATATCATCGGCCTGGACGGCGTCAACAATGGAGTATATCCCGGCGGTTGGATTGATCATCACTATGCCCAGTTATACATCCAGATCGCCTACATCGTCGCCGCCTGCGCTTATTCGTTCGTCATGTCCGCCATCATTGCCAAGCTCATCGACCTCGTACCCGGTTTACACTTGCGCGCTACGGAAGAGGCCGAGCTCCTGGGTATGGACGACGACCAACTCGGCGAATTTGCCTACGACTACGTCGAAGTGCGTCGCGATTTCTTAGCGTGGACCCCCGCCAAGGAAGAGCCTACCGCGGACGGCCACAGAATCATCCCGCAGCACGGAATCGAAGAGCACCAACACATGGCCAATACGAACGGCCTGGCTCTCGAGAAAGAGCAGGAGAAGCTAGGAGCTTCGGTTAGAGCCCCCGCCAAGGCGGCCGCTGCCGAAGATACTGCTACGCAGGGCAGCAGGGGAAGCGGAGAATAAGCAAGCCTCTGCTTCGTTTACTTCCACCTCGACTGTATTAAACCCCGGAGGACCATCATCGACCGTTGTTACTATTACACTACACTATTTGACATAAATTGCGCGTGTGTTATTACATAATACCCATCAGTTCTTTTTTTTTCTCTTCTTGTCCTTTTTTTATTTGCGTGTTCTTATTATTCTCCGTCCAAGTCGGAGTTCGTCGGAAGAAAAATAAAAGTTCTGCCGGGAGGGGGCGGGATGAATGATATTGTTTTTCGTCCTTGAAGGCATGGCGTTCTAGGCGTTGCTATTACTGCTGCTTCTCTGATATGAGAGACAAACAAGGAGGGAGGGAGGGGAGGGGAGATGTTTGCGACGATTTGCGACGATTTGAGACGAGGGGACGGATTGATGGATACGATGTCTTGTGTGAGGGTGAGGGATGAACATGCTGGCTGACTACCTAGGTTAGTTAGGCTAGGTACATAGGTATATACTGCCTATACTACCAACTACCAATGCAAATTTTTGGAACGCTTTATCATGAGCGAATTATGACATTTCGTGATAATTCCCGGTGTAGTAAGTGCTCGATATGCTAGAATCGTAGCATCGAGATCAGTAAACGAATAGTGTAGTCGTTATTCCGTACGTCTACTCTACTCTACTCTACTCTTCACGTCACATATCGCCAAAACACTTATATAGGTACCTACTATACTATGTATACTACCAAGTACTAAGACTCAGTCATCCCATCAAATCACAACTAAGTCAGACAGGTAGTTACCTAGCCTACAAGTCCTAGTTTACTTACTTACTCAAGACGCCTATGAAATATTAACCTTTACACAATAGCAGTAGCCATATCACCAAGACCACGATTATTTCATTCAAGTTTTCTTTGTTTCTTCCATTTGTCGTATCTCTTTATCTCTATCACTAACTACAGATCCGTAGCACAAGTCTCAACTAACTACAACTGATCTCGCCCAAGTTCTTCTTTTCTCACATATCCATCCTCCTCCCGCCCTGAGACACACTCTCCTCAACCAATCTCCCTTGAAAACCTACGCACCCCTCTACTCCAGCTTCAACCCCTCAAACTGCTTAATCGTGCCCTCGAAGCCCTTGGCCTCGGATTCCAGATCAGCGAGTTTCTTCTTGTCCGCCTCTTGGAGCGCAGCCGCCACCTTCTGCTGGTAGTTGGTGTCGGCGAGGAGCTTCTGCTGTTTGGCGATGGCGGCGCGCGTCTTGTCGAGTTTCTTGTTGGCCTTGGAGATCTCGTCGTCGATGTCCACGCGTCCCTTGACGTGCAGGAACACTGCCGCGGCGCTCGACACGGGGAACGCCACGCATCCGGCGGGACGCGCGTTTGATCCCGAGATAACCTCGATTCCGGTCACGCCCTTGCCGCTAAGAGATTTGATGGATTGGACCTGGTCCACTGCTGTTTGGTATGCCGTGTCATCGTAGGTTTGTACGAAAACTGTAGGTATTTACGTTAGCGTAGTGTTGGGGAGGTAGTAAATTTGGAAATGTTACCTTGAGCTTCGTCCTTAAGAGCGTATTCGGACATTAATGACCGGATACCCTTGGAGCAACCCAGGACGAGTTCGTAGGCAGCCTCGGCTGCGGGGTTATCCAGCTCTGCATCGTACACGGGATATCGAGCAAGCATGATTGATGGAGTTTCGTCGCCAGGTCGGCGCGGGAGGCGTTGCCATAGTTCTTCTGTGAGGAAAGGCATAAAGGGGTGGATCAGCTTCAGCGCGTTGTCCAGCGCCGTGTATAAAGTATTAATAGCTGAGCGCTTCTCTTCTTCTGTGCCGTCCTGTATGAGAGATTTCGAGTTTTCTATATATACATCACAAAGCTGGTTGTACCAGTACTGATACACCGTCGACGTCGACCTGTTGAACTCCCGGTTCGCAATAGACTCGTTTATCTCCTTAGTGGCGGCGTTCATCTTGTGTAAGATCCACTTTTCGGCGAGGGATTCCTTGCCCGTAAGCTTTCCGGTCTTCTCGGGGACGAAGTCATGGTCTAACTTGCCGAGCACGAACTTCGTGGCCTGATAAATCTTGTTACAGAATTTCCTGTAGCCATGCATGACCTTGATATCGAAATTGATGTCTCCTCCACCAGTCGTGTAGTTGACCATGCAAAATCGAAGTGCGTCAGCTCCGCATTGTGGTATACCATCAGGGAAAGCCGTCTTCTGGTATTTCTTGGCCTTCTCAACCTCGCTAGGGTGGAGATTTCCCATCGCCAGCTTCTCGTGGAGGGTTTCCAATGGAATTCCGCTGATGACATCAAGAGGATCTATAACATTACCGAGGGATTTGGACATTTTTCTTCCCTCCGAGTCTCGCACGAGTGAGTGGCAGTAAACCTCGCGGAAAGGAATCTGCTTCGTCATCTTCAGACTAAGCATGATCATTCTTGCGATCCAGAAGAACAAGATATCCCATCCAGTTTCGAGGATACTGGTTGGAAATAGCGTCTCCAGGTCGTGAGTCTTGTTTGGCCATCCGAGGGTTGAGTAGGGCCATTGTCCGGAAGAAAACCACGTGTCGAGCACGTCCTCATCGCGCTCTAACGTAAACTTCTTTCCTGGCAGAGCCTTCTCGGCCTTCGCTTGTGCTTCTTCCTCTGTCCGCCCCGAGAACCACAATTTGTCGTCCGCACGGTCACCTGTCTCGCCCTCGATGTTGGCGAAGTAGACAGGGCATTGGTGTCCCCACCAGAGTTGACGAGAGAGACACCAATCATTGATATTCTCCATCCATCTGTAGTAGCTGTTTTCGGCCGTCTCGGGTTTAATCTTGATCTGGCCATCTCTCACCACCTTGATTGCCTCGGCAGCCATATCCTTCATCTTCATCCACCATTGGGGCTTCATGATGGGCTCGATCACATCCTTGGATTTCGAGCAGACGGGTACCTTCATCGGGTTGTCCTTCTTATCTACGTATAACCCACGCTCCTTAAGAGCGTCTTGGATAGCATACCTTACGTCGAATCGCTTCTGGCCCTTGAAAGGACCGGCATTCTCGTTCATGAAACCATCGTCGGTCAAGATGTTAATGAATTCCAGGTTGTGTCGCTGGCCTAGCGCAAAATCGTTCGGGTCGTGAGCCGGGGTAATCTTGACGGCGCCAGTACCAAATTCCTTGTCTACGTAGTCATCCGCTACAATTGGCATCAGACGACCCTCGATGAAGGGGTGGACAGCCTTCTTGCCAACTAGGTGTTTATACCGTTCGTCGTCAGGGTGCACGGCGATACCCGTATCACCTAGTAGTGTCTCGGGACGCGTCGTAGCAACCTCGATCGTCTCATTCGAGCCTTCAATGGGGTACTTGAAGTGGACAATAATTCCAAATTCAACCTTCTTATCGTATCCAGGTACCTCGAGGAGTGTTCGCCCGGTCAACTCCTTGTTGTCGACCTCCAAGTTGGAGAGCGCCGTGTTGAGTTGGGTGCACCAATTGACAAGGCGGTTCGCGCGGTAGATGGTTCCCTCTTCATGGAGCTTGACGAAAGTCTCCGTCACAGCCGCGCTTAGATTCTTGTCCATGGTGAAGGCTTCCCGACTCCAATCAGTCGAGCCACCCATCTTACGTTGCGCGTTATTGATTCGATTATGGTAGTCCTCTTTCCACTCCCAGACGGTTTCCACAAACTTTTTCCTGCCTAGATCATGTCGAGTCTTGCATTGCCGCCTCCATAACCTAGAGGGCAGTCAGTATACGCACTTGTTAAAAAATAATAATAATAAGGTAGTGACACGAACATGTTCTCGACGACGCTCTGGGTGCTAATACCGGCATGGTCACAGCCTGGTAGCCACAGCGTTGTCTTCCCGTGCATGCGGTTCCATCGGATCATGACATCTTGAAGGGAATTACCCAGGGCGTGACCCATGTGTAGCGCTCCTGTCACGTTAGGGGGAGGTATGACAATAACAAAGGATCCTTCCTCCTTGACCTTTCCATCCGGGGCGAATTCGGGCTTGAAGAATCCCGACTTCTCCCACCACTCGTACCAGGCGCTCTCGACAGCGACCGGGTTGTATGCTTTCAGCTGAGGATCGTCGAGGGATCTAAGTCGCTTCTTCTCGCCGAGGGGTGTCTCTTCGACGTAAGGGGGAAGAGGCTCTTCTTCGACCTTGGGAGCTTTAGGCTTCTTGTCCTTCGCCTTGGCGTTCGCAGCAAGGGCAACCTGTGCAACGGCTTTAGCCTTCTTCTGCTCGAACTTGGCAGCCTTCTCGGCCTTCTTCCTCTCCTTTTCTAACTCCTTCTCAGTCTTGACCTTAGGTTCGGCCTTGGCTGAAGTCGAGGCGGCTCCGGCATCCTGACCCTTGGCGTGCACACCGGCACCGTCCGACTGTCCCGCAGCTTCTTTCACGGCGCTTTTAGTATCGGCGGCGACTGGAGGCGGGGCACCTTCGCCAACCTTGCTTGGGCCCTCAGATGCATCAATAGGGTTACCACGGGAGCTATTTGTAGCCATATTGGCGCGAGTGAAGTGAAAAGTTGGTCTGTACGGCGGCCTGCGCACCCAGAGTGCCCTAAGAAATAACCTAGACAACTTGACGGTGTTGAATGGAGAATTAGGGGGAAATGATTCGTAGCATTGGGGTTGGCTAATATATAAGTCGGTAAGTCGGCTCCCTTTTCCTCGAAAATTTCTTGACTCAAAATACTTTGACTCACTAAAAAAAGGTACGACTTCGGAGGGGTAACTACTATGTACCTGACCTAATTGTCACCAAGCCATATCTTTGCGTGCCGCCAGATAACACTATCGATAAGATATACTATATTATGGCGGGGTGATCTTATATAAGACAGTACTTCGGTACCTCCCAGTATAACCTCTACATAATGTATTCTCTTCTAAGGATTATATTAAGCTTATAACTCATAACAAATCATACCATACTCGAGCTTTCAACCTCAACCGACTCAAATAGGTAGCCATGAGCTCTAGACAATCATCATTACCTGGATAGTATCCTTCTTTCTCTGGGCATTTCTTCCTTTAACCGTAATAATATTAATATAATAGGTAATACCTATGCCACTCCCATCATCTCATCTCTACTCCTCCCTCCTAAGATCCTACCAGTATTAACTACTACTCTACTTCCAATCCAACCAAGACCTAAGTATTCCCAGCCGCCACATCCTCAGCGTTATTCGTACCATCATCATCATCATCATCATCATCCCTACCCTGCTGCTGCTGTCTCTTCACCCTCTCCCTACCAATCCACCCCAAAAACAGCGGCACATCCTTCCAAATGACCCCCGGCGCCGCCACATTCTGCACCCAACCCGGCAACACGCCTCCCGCATCACTCGCCGTCGCCATCAACCACTCCACCTTCCTACCCCCATCCTCATCCCTATCCCCACCCTCTATCCTCCGAATCCTCTCCACACTCACATAACTAGCGATCTGCGCACCCTTTTCCTTGGCCAGTTTACTCGCTTCCGACGTCCCGAAATCCGGTATCGGGATGCTTACCACGAGGAACTCTTCTTCTTCTTCTTCTTCTCCTTCTTCCGAGGTGGTAGTGGTGGTGGTGGAGCCAGCAGTAGCAGTAGCAGTCATCTGCAGCACGGGAAACGTCCGATCCTTCAACACCGGCCTCCCAATCCGATGCCGCATCTCCTGCACAACCAACCCGAACCGTCCCCACGTCTGCCCTCCCTCCAAGGCTTCCGCGCCCCCGCAGTCCCACGCCAGAGCCTGATGCGCATCCACGCACGCCGGCGTAAACGCGCGCTCCGACTCGGCATGCTCGTCGCGGAAGCTACGCACGAATTCGTCCCAGGACGCCGTTCCCCTCTCCGGCTTATCCTCGTGGACGCTGCGGCGACAGCACCAAGTTTCCGGCCTAACCTTCCCCTTACTCTTCTCCTTCTCCTTCTCCTTCTCCTTATTACTACTACCGCCCCCCACACTCACAGCCACCTTCTCCAGCTCAGCAGCCGGGAGGACCACGCGCTCCAAGACCTCGATTTTCGCCGCCGAGTCCGGGTGCGCGTGGCTCCCCTTCAGCTTCCAGATCTTGGGGTCCGCAGCGCCGTTTCCCGCCTTGGGCGCCGCCGAGTCGATGAACGGGACGGCTTCCCGCAGGATTGCCAAGAGGAAAGGCGCCAGCTCGTCGGGCGACGCGGTAGCTGCGGGGAGTTGTTCGGTGCGCAGGCCCCGTAGGCGGACGAGGGGTCCTGGGGCGGTTGACGATGCCATTTTGCGAATTTGCGTAATTAATATGTGTTGAGCTTGTATAGAAACGAAGGTAAGATAACCAACCACCTATGTAGGTAACTAAAAGAAAGTAAAGTAAACTATCCCACCCGTCCGGCGTGAACGATAGTAACGAGATGAACTTAATATATACCTCCTATATATATATTGATAAAAATGTTATGTCATGTCATGTTTCAACAGCTAAAACGTACCTAAAAAGAAGAAAGGAAAAGTGCATGTAAGTAATAGGATAATCGTTTCAAGGGGCCGATGTTTCGATCTGGTACAGGTACGTAACCCGAATAATACGGAAACGAAAAATATATATAAACAGAAACAACAATTACGAGCAGATTACCTATGCCATGTGTTTAAATATATTTAAGCATTACTACATGTCACTTTTGGGGTATAATTTGCAATTTGTTGATTGTGTGTTAGCCAATGTCTGAAAGAAACCATCTCCAACGCAGTAAGTTTGTGATGCTCGAGCTTTAGGCTAGCTGCGTCATTCGTATGCGGGGGTAGGGGGGACAGGGACAGACAAGCTTTTGGTTCCATGAACGCGGGTTTTCAGGTACCGGCTACGCTTTCCATTCCGATCCGTCCTCCCTTATTATAAGATACCTAGGTAGGTACCGAAGAATATCTACACACCTAATAATACGGTAAGGTGATGATTTAATCTGGAAAACTTACACTAATGCTCTATGCTCTAACACGGGTCTACGATTTCATAGAGTATGTATATTATACTCATATCCGATTATTACTATTATTCTAACTATATGGTGTCTTTCTTTCATCTCATGCCCTTCTTGGGCTATCTCGGATCGTGGTCGTCATCCAGTTAAAAGGCTGTATGTACAGGACTTTAGGTATTTAGGGGTATTTGGTAAAACTCGTTTCCTCCTTCTCAATTCTAAAGCTTCTCGTTCAAGCATTTCGCTTTTCCCAGAAAATATTAGCCGGCTCGATCGGCCGCGAGAATAATGAAGCGTAGTCAGTTCCAACGACCTTGTCGCTTCCGTCAACGTTCCTGAACTTGAACAGGCGAACAAGCTCGGCTGTGATCGTCTGTAGCTGGACGTTGGCAAACTGCTCACCGATGCAACGATGCCTTCCAGCACCGAACGGGAGGTAGGGTGAGTTGGCACCCTTGCTAACAAGTCCGTATCCGTAATCTATCTTCTCATCCTCTACATCGTTGCGGACCACAGTTGGTGCAATAGGCGAATCCTTGCTCCATCGTGTAGGCTCCCATCGGTCTGGGTCGGGGAAGAAAGTAGGGTCCGTAGCTGATACACCACCGGCGGAGAGTAGGGTATGGCTGGTAGGGATGACATATTTGGTTCCGGGGACTGGCATAGGTGACTTTACGGCACGCATAATAGAGTGGATGGGCGCATGAAGTCTTAGTGTTTCCTTGACGATTGCCTGGTTCAGTGGGAGTTTCGCGAGATCCTCGTACTTCAGCGGGGGTAGATCAGCGCCGAGAGCCTCAACCTGTTCGCGGTACAAAGCCTCCATAATATCCGGGCGCGATGCGAGACGTAGCATCATCCAAGAGCTTGTAGAAGACGAAGAGTGCTGACCAGCCATAAGCAATGCAATCAACATGTGTGCAATCTCGTGGTCGGGAACCGGTCTGCCGTCCTTGTAAGTCGAGTTCATCAGATGCCACATCATGTCCTGCGCATCGCTCTTGCCAGCTGCCCTGCGTTCCTTGATGGTATCCATGTAGATCTTCGAGATGGTCCTCTGAGCGTGGTCGCGTCTTTTGTTCCAGGGTAAGGGAGCCCAGTGAAGCATGAAGTTGACAGGGGTGAATCCCATATCCAGGTCGTGGTACAAGGAAGCCAGCGACTCGTCGAACTTGTTGCGGATCTCGCTGCCTTGAAGAGAGTGAGATGCGGTGAAGATGGTAATCTCGGCCATGTTCTTAGGGATGTTGACTATGCCTGATTTGCCCTTGAAGTCGGGGCATCGCTTGATGTAGCTCGTTACCTCGTCGGAAATGATGGGGACGTACGACTGGAAGGCGGCGGTGGTGAGAGCAACTTTCATGAACTATCCCCTCTTGTGTTAGTAAGGATTTCAGAGCATATATAAAAATTTGGTAGTTTACCTTCTTCTGCTCCATGAGCTTCGAGTTAGGGCAATCGTAGACAACATCCTTTCCGAAGACAGGGGTGGTAAGGACGGTGTAGATATCCTCAGCGCAAACATCCTTAACCTTTCCATTTAGGATGAAGTCGTTTCCGGCGGGGCCAAGGTAAACAGTTGTCTTCTTCCCGAGGAGAATAAAGGTGAAGATATCGCCATACTGTCGCGTCTGTTAGTACGCCAACTGACTCGCGGTGTGCATAGGGATATTGGAGGAAACGTACCTTGGCTCTATTTTCCTTGAAGAATCGAGGAGGGTCCATTCCATAGGTGATGGTACTCCCAACCAAGGGAAACCAGTGAAAAACGACCGGGGGCTCATTAGGTTTTCTAAAGAGAATCTGTTGTAAAACATTGAGGAAAACAGAGATGAACAGAACGCCAGCGAAGATAACGCCAACTTGCGACGGTGTCGACAGTTGCGACATGTACTGGGACACAGGTCCCTGAATATCTTCTATAAGCCCCATTGCTAAAAACGCGCGCGACTGACTCGGTCGACTGCACTATTAGCTTGTAGAGTGGAATAAATGTTGAATAGGGAACATAGGAGGGAGTTCAATAAATTAAATACAAAAATTGAGGGTCAAGGTACAGACCCTTTTTTGGTAAAAGATGGCAAGAGATTGGCCAATCGATAAGGGGTTAGAACATCGCACCATGCATGCCCCATTTTAAGCTAACGCAGCGCAAAGGTACGGCGACACTTCGTATTCGCATTCGTGCCAAAGTTAATTTCACGTACACGTGTAGATCTTTGCTTAAGTGAATATTGCGCGTAAAAAGATTGCAAAGATTGCAAAGATTGGCTTGTGAATGGTCCATTTGACAAATTCATTGCCATATAAGGATATGCCATATAAGGATATCGGACATGGCAGACCTCACACCGCCACCGCTACAGAAAACTACACCAACTTCGCAATTACATATGAGCCGCTGGGTCGGAGATGGTTGGTAAATCTACTGATGGTGCGTACGATCAGTCTGTAGAGCATGACAATGATACGATTTAGTATTAGAGTCGACTCGATTTGACTCGATTTGACTTGATATGGCTTGGCGAGCTTATTTCAACGAAAACATTTTAACCCCTATTCATTAGAGATTGCTAGATCGTAAACATTTATAGGTTTATCTAAGGGCGACCACCCACTCTCCTAATAGCTTGGTAGGTTACATACAGCAGAATCTATCATTATCGATTGTCAGGATTTATCAGAGATTAAAGAACAGAGTCCCGGACTTGATTTTAAGCCTTATGGCTTGATGAGGATTAGCACATATTATGGGCCAAGGACTTGAAAATGAACTTAGCTAGGTAGTTAGAGATTAGGTAATCCGTTGATAAGATAAATTTTTTGATATCTGATATCAAAGATCAAAGCAATTTAATTCTTTTGTAAACTTTTCAATTCAGTTCAGAAGACTAGGTAGGCGTACAGATCACACATGAGACATGGCTATAGTATCGAATACATATCTGGGCACACGAGCTGCTAAGCCGGGTTACTGCCACGATAACCCAAGCATTATGTCTTATACTTTGCAGCTAGTATCATACATATCCAAAGCAGGATTATAAAGTCGTACAAACCCGTGCTATACATACAACAGAAGCACAAGGTAGTAGTAAAGTAGCTCAGCAACACAAATGATATCAAGTACTAGGATTAAGCACTAGGAGAGGAGAACCAAGAAGAGAGATAGAATACAATAGGTAGCATTCCCACCTACAAACACACGCAATAGAAATAACTATCCACCACATCTCTTCCCAAAAGCTACCTACACCCCCAAACCACCACAACCCTTCTTCCTCACCCCGCGCGCTCAGCACACGACAGCAACGAAAAAAGAAAAAAAAAACCGCCTGTCAGACGTCCACCACCGCCCACCCCGGCCACGCGCCCGAAGGCAAGACCGTGACAAATCGGGGTTGAGATCATTACCACTCTCTATACAGCCACAGGGGCCGCCACCCTTGCGGGCAGAGCGAGAGTAAGGAGCAAGAAAGCCACAAAAGGCCTTGGTGCTCCCGCAAAAAAAGAATTTTCACTCTAGGGCAGCGGGGATATCATTCATCAACCAGGGTGGGATCTGTAGCTCCTGTAGGGAACACAGAGTAGGGACGAATACTATAGAAATGATTCTCTGAAGTACTGTATCGCGAGACAGGTTAGTTCAATTGCTGGTATGGGGGAGGAGGGGAGGGGTGAGACTGACTTGTCGACATGAAGAAGAAAAAAGGAAAAAGAAAAATTCTAAAAGGCGTCAGAACAACGCAGATATTTATGGCTGTGGTAGCGGGCTAATGGCGGGCGGTGTGTGGTTCTGCCGCGGGTTGAAGTTTGCTGCGCTAGTCACTAGGTGATGAGGTTTCCGTGCCAGCGGCAGCTGTGTTTTTTTTTTCCGGCGGGTCTTTGGGAAGGCTAGATGCGTGTTTCCCAGGTGATAGGTAGGAAACTACTGAGTCTAGGTAGTTTGCTCGGGGACCTATGAGGTAGGTTAGATAGGTAGTCATGGACTCACGGTGTACGGTGTGCTGTTTTGCTAGCGTTGTGTTTTTCGACACGATTAGGTACTTCTTGCTCTTATGAGGTGACTCGTACCTAATGTACCTTGACAAATTCTACGGACTCGATGATCAGACCATGTCAAGTACATACCTTAGGTATCTAAGTAATGGTGTCTAATGCTTCAAGTAACTGTTTAGATGATAGGTTCATCGAACGGTAATGAGATACGTAGGTTAGGTAGTTATACCATCAACCTGGAGACGTCCCAGCTAAGACGTTCCTCTTCGCATTTAAAAGGGCTCTAAATCGTTTCCTCTAGCTAAATATATTAATAGTTAGTAACAGTTGCGCAAGGGGAGTGATAGGATCCTACGACAGCCTAGCAAGCCTAGAGTGGAACATTCAGAAATTGATACAGTGAAGATTTAACTTAGGCTCATAAGCAAATCCTCTGTATAATAATACACTCCTCCTTAGGCAGCACAGTAATAATAGTTCCGAGTCCTACACTGAATTAACATCTTGGTCGTAGGGGGGGTTCTCTTGATAAAGAGACCTTATCTTATTGAAGACGGTATAGAGGGACTTTCAGTAGTTGTCTTGAAAGACCTCATAGTATAAAACCTCGAGTAACCTGTAATAAGCTTAACTGGCAGCAATAAACATAACTATCGATTTACCTTATTTACATGTATAGGTACCTATTCACGTATTTCACTACAAGGACAAACACTCGCCGTCAGCCATGATACTATTATAATAGACCTGTAGATGAAATAGTATTGATACCAATCTGGCCATAAAGGGTCCTATGCCCTTCCCTTCCTATCCTTCCCACCTTGCGGCGAGGAAACAAGCTCTACTCTTTACTCTGATGTAATGTAACTACCTATTTATTTTCCATATGCTTTACCGAGATATCGTCGGTTATGTTTCCCATCGCCCAACAACAACAACAACAAAGTCACCTATCTTCTACCCCTTTAAACTCCGAATGGCTATGCTAAATGCTGGATATCTTGTTTTATGCCGGCCTTCTGCTCGCGGAGAAGAAAAATCAAATGCCTGAAAAAAAAAAAAAAAAAAAAAAAAAACGCCGAGCCGAAAGTCTTTCATAGTGTTAATGCAGCCCATTGATAATCCCCGTCGATGTTGACCCATTTTCCTTCTTCCATTGCTTTTTCCCAGCCCATGATCACAGCCAGCAATCGACATCCCATTGCGCTGATAGTGCAAATAACAGCGTCGCTAGCCTGGCCCAAGACAGCTAGGTCCATCGCGTAGGCCCGTCCCATAAGCCCTCTAAGCCGCATGGTTTCCGCCGACGGTTGAGGCGCTGTCTGTGATTTATCTGCTAAATTGGCGTTGTTTACCGTGGTGTGGCCCAGATTCCAGAACATGCTCGCGAAGAATCCGCCCTCCCAGCCGAAAGTCTCGTCCACGAACTTGTGCATCACCGACTTATCTGGGTTTAGCTTTTGGATGTGTTGCTTGCTGGCGAGCTGGATTTGTTCTTGTGCTCTCAGAGAGCCCGAGAACTCTTCTGTTTCGTAGACGTCTGGGTCGTCTGACGCAATGATGGAGAACGAGTGCTGTTTGGCTATCGGGTCCTCACCTCCAAGGAGAGTACTGGAGTTATGGTACTGTTCGATAAGCTCCTTGGATTTTAGCGCGTAGAGGTTCAGAGGGATGTACGCGCCATTATACTGGTACTCGTATGGGTGCAAATCGCCATGTCGAATATGAATACCGATGATCATGCCGTCATTGTAGCTTCCCTCTCTAACTTTGACCATTGTCCTCAGCTCCTTGACGCGGCGGTCTACGTAGGGTTGATCCTCATCATTTAAACGGAAAAGAGCCTCGTATCCAACTCGAGCAAGGTCGTATATTGGCCGTTCTCGATAGACGTTGCTTCGACGAAGATTTTCGTACTCGGAATTAAAGCTCTTGCCAAAAGTTTCGGATGCAGTAGCCGTTGATACGATCAGGTGTCGCGCGCTGTGGGGACACGGCAGCATCTCGTGGCGCGGCGGCGCGCTGCAGTCAGGCGTCGGTGGCGCCTTAAAGATGGTAGTATAATCGCCATATGCCCACCGGGAATCATCAATAAAAAAAGCTCGCTTTTCCTTCTGGGCCAGACCATACGCCATCCACAACATCATCAAAGTAGGACCCAGTCCAGCATCGGCCGACTCGAGAACGAATGTTAAAGACGTCTTGCAAGCGCTCTTATCCGCTAATCCGTCCGCCTCGTCCCCTACTAAATGACCATCTTGAGCTTGCGCCGTCACTTTCCATGCTTTCCCCACTCCCGGTAGGAGTCCTCGTTTTTCGGCGTCACCAACATCGACAAAGTAGGGATCCTCGTAATAGTAATCTAGCTGAGTCTCTTGGGAAGGCTTTGTGTGACCGTGTAGCTCTCTGACGTGGGTTGCCACTTCTTGGCATTTGATGCAGATATCCGAATACTCTTTGGTGGTTAAGGGGAAGTTATATGCAGGTGGTATGGATACTGTCCACTTGGATCTGCCTTTTTTGTCCGTAACAGCGATGGGCGTGGGGAAGTCAGGCAAGTCATACTGGCCAACCATTTCATACTCTTCATGGTTGTCCAAAGCCCATCCAACGACAGGTACTAGTACTTCCTTCTTTACAAGAGCCCTCACGACAAAAGAGACCAGCGCTAAACCACCAAGGATCCATGCGGCAACTCGGAGAACTCGACTCGGTCTCGGTCCGGTAGCTGATTTCCGTGGTCGGGGTACCAGAGCTGGTAAGCCGGGGGAAGGGGGAGGGGAGAACATTAGATGGTTAAAGCTAAAGCGCGACGACGTTGCGGATAGTGGTGCCTTTTCATGTTGATAGGATGCGGCCCTACGCAAGTTCAGTCGAGGAGTAGAGACAATCATCTTGGCGTGGGTGCTCTGGGATAAGTCCAGAGTCGGCGGCATCGTATTAGGGGGTTAGTTAGCGACGTCGGCGAGGACCTCACTGCAAGGACAACCTGGGGAGTGGGACGGGAACTCGGGATGTGGCATCCGGATATTACAGCTCGCAAGCGTATAAGGAGTGACGGTGAGCTGAGCTGAGCTGCAGGGCGCTGCAGCGGCGAAAGGAGGCGGGGAACAAGATATGAAAATGAGTGACTGGATGATTTAGAAGCGGTGATTACCCTTTAGAGCCAGGCATCGGGCGTACGGTATGTGGTCGTTCCTCGTCTACATCTGTAGTGTATCGAGGGATATGTACCAAGTTACCAGTTACCAGCTTAACTACCGAAGATGGTGAACCTCGAGTCGCAAAAGTGAGGGAACTCCGGGTGGTGGCCGAGGCTCGTGCGACGCGGTACTTGTATGCCTATGTAATGTCTTCGACACTCGAGGTGATCGTGCCTAGAAAAAGTAGGTGATCGCTCCTGCGCCGCGCGCGACGATTCAGTCCAAGTATTTCCCCCCTTCTCGACACTAGATCGTAGCTGGAAAGACAGCCCTTTCCGCTGCTTATGCGTGCTGTGTGTGGTATCCCAGGGAATGGGGACAGATGGGGGTTAGAGAGGATCCAATATAATTTGGCCACCAATACTTTCTTTACTTTCTTTTTCTTTTCGGGTGGTGAGACGACGATCACAGACCAACGACCCAATAATGTGGAGGGCCACGAGGCTTTGTAGGGATAAGTACAGAATGGCAGAATGGATAGGTACCCAGCAGCCCCAAAATGTTCCAGTAAGGAGCTGCTATGATCTATCTGAGAAAGACCAGAATGGTCACAAGACCGAAGACTACCGAAGCCGCGGTGTAAAACGGAGGATATCCCGTATGTATATCAAGAGAACTTTCGGCACTACCTACCGAAAAGCCTAGAGAAGGAAAAGAAGACGTGCCGAAGCACCTGAATCAAAGAAGACGAGAACGCCCAAGTGTAAAATAGACTACACTAGAAAAGAAAAAGGTATGACACCATCGCGGTTACGCAGGGTAGCGGGATGATGTCAGACAAGAGAAAAGGAAACGAAACGAAGGAGAGACTCAGATCATAGGTATGCCCACAGGACCCATTCCCCCCTCGGAGGAAGATCGACCTACCGCAATTTTAGGAATTCCTGATATCCACCGGCTCTGTTATGGGTTTGCAAGGGGTTGAGCGGAATTCGAGCTGAATTCTGGAATCGCCCAAACGGCTTAATAGAAAAAAGGATGATGGACAAACGGACGAGGGTGGACGTGTTTTAATCTGATCCAGCTAATCTGATCCAGCTCCCACGGCTGTTGTTGGACCATGGGAGGAGAGTAGGCAGGTAGGCAAACGGTAGGAAAGCTTACTATTACATGTTGGACAGAGCCTACCTTCGTCTAGGTCTATTCTGGTTGGACAAATGTGGCAACTCGTGGGTTCCCATATACTATGTAAATAACAGGTAGGTAGGTTAAGTAGGTGTATACTGCTATAGTAGACGAATTATCGTTCCTACGAAAAAAATTAAGCTTTGCAAGTGCAGCCGAACTTGTACCCTTTAAGCAGTTACCAAAGCAGGTCTAGCACGAGTGTAGCACGAGCAGCCAATCGCAACACGGTTAGCCTCGAGGAACACCAACGTCAGTCTTTTTTTCCTGCCCTTTTCATTCCATTTCCCACTGGGATCCCCACAACGGGCGTACCCCAATCCTCGGGTGACACGGTGATCATATTTACGACGCATATGGTATGTACGTAGGCTATGGAAGACCGTATCGAATGATTGGACGCAACTTAGCTCGAGAGGGATCGCCATTTGAAACCCCTGAACTTCTGAAACAGCACTAAGGGCTATTGCGAAAGCGCCCATTTCCTTATTGGCTTTTCCCGACTCGTTCGTTCGTTCGTTCTTTTTTTTTTTTTGCTAGTGCCCGAGAGAGCTTGATATGTGGCTCGTTAAGGGAAAGACCTCACCTCACCGGTCCCTCTATCACGAGACTAACAAACGCTTGCAATAGGTCCCGTTTGTCTTCCAAACTTCGGATCGTCGGGATTCTCGGGTGCCCTATAGATGACTTCCAAATTTGGTATTTTCATTTAGTTCGTCGCAACGGAATCCCGGTAATTGGATTTACGTAACTACACTAACCTAGGTTGGTTATGTAACTACACAGTAATTAGTTAACGAGTACCTAAGTTATAGTAATTTTTCTTCTTCTTCTCCCTGACCGGCTACCGACGATCTTGTCAGACATTCAGACATTCTGCCGCAATAGTCAATCGGAAGGCATAGACACATTTGGCAATAATTCGCAGTCAGCCGGGTTAAGACTTTCAGGACTTTTCCCCAGCTTGCTTTTGCTTATTGGCGTCCCCCCATATGTATGTATGCAGGTGCGGACGCCAGTATGTATATGCGGTACGAAGGACTACCGACCTATGAAGATTACCAAACGAGACGCTTGGTTGGACTAAAGGCGTTCTGTATTCGCCGAGCGAGCGAGTTTTCTCGTTCGTTGTAGGAATGTGGCACAGCAGCTACGAATCCACGATGGTAGTGTAAACATCGCTCTCGGTTGTTGCTGTTGTGCTTCTGTGAAGCCACGATATATCACTCAAGTAAAACTTAGCAATCTACATCTCCAGCGCTTTATTTATTCGTAACACCCCATCCTCCCAACGGAGCAAAGCGGCCGTCTTGCTGCCATGTATTTAAATGGATAGACTTCTCCAGAAGCAATTTTCTGGCCGGATAATGAGCAACGGATGTTAAATACATGCCTCTCTACCGATGGCTTCACGAAGTTACGAAGAGGCACGGCATGTAGGTTAGGTACCTGTGTTTAAAAATAGCATCATGGATCCTTCACGAGTGCATAACCACCGCCCCTTCAATGATATCATTCCTCTTCCTATAACTTAGCCCGGCTGTTTATAAGTATTAGGTATCATCAACCATCCCCAAACCCGATGCTATGCCGTGAAAACTACCATATTAAATTACGTTTCAATTATACTACACAACATGCTAAGCCCATGGGCCACAACCCAACATCCCAATGCTCAGCTCACATATTAATACTATCACGTACATACATACATACTAGGTACCCCACCGCCCGGCATCGTCCCACGCCATCTATCTGTGTGAAAGTCGATCGCACCCAGCCGTTTAAATACGTGTGTAGGGACCCGATGTTGGGTACGCTCTGCCAGGCGGATCCGGCTTTAAGATGTAGATATGGTACGTAAAACGCGCATGGTGCTAGGAAAGAGAATCCCAATTCGTTCGTCGTTCTGTCCACAGCGTAAAGAAACACCCCTAAATATACCAAAAAGGGGTGAAGACAACATGGTAAGTAATGCAGCCGCCCGAACTCCGAGCGCTTGGTCGGCGGGAAGGCTAGCCACCTACCTTATTGTTCGCGTTCGTTCTGTATGTTGGAAGTAAATGTGCACCAGATCTGTCCTAGAACAGTTAAATGAGGATTGCCTCTTGTAGGTATATCCTAGGAGCCGGAGATGATAGCATCGCATTATCCAGCCTCCCTTACCAATCCCTTAAAGCTTACGAAGCCTCAAAATCGGGTGTGGTTTCACAGCTTCAATAAATTTTCTGTAGTAGGTTCCGAACCAAACAGTTCAAGAAACAAATGCGTCTAGGTTATTAGATCATACTTGCGCCCCTTTTTAATGAGCCTGGGCCTAGAATAGGTTTCAATAATATACAAGACGAAGACGCTCCAAAAGGATGAAAGGTTGTTCTGGCACCTATTCACATTCCCCGTTGGCTGCCATTAAGAAATAAAAAATAATTCCATCACCCTCCTTTTGGTACATATCGATGATAGAAATAACAGTCATTGTCCGACGGCTTAGAAACGGATAAAAATGACCCGTCAACCTCCTTCCATTCGTCAGGACATTCACGTTCCACAGGCTCCAAAGCGTAGCAAACAGAAGAATTTGATAGGGTATAAAACAAACGGCGGAAGCAGAGCCTAACCGGAACGCCACGTTAATTCGCAAATATGATGGATACTGCTTCCTGAATCGCACATGGGGATATCTATGCCTCCAGCACGACTTGCTTCGACTCGTTAAATATCGATGTTGAACTTTGTCGTAATGGCTCGAGTTCTGTATTGTCCGGCTCGGCTACGGTCCCGCCTTTCCCATCGTTAACCACCTGAACGCTGCCACGGACGCCCCTGACGATGTGGCCTGCCTCGACTCGGTCTTGAATCATCTCATCTAGGATTCTGCTCATTTCGTCAACGCTCCTAGTCCGTTTTCGAATCGGCGATTGACCTTTGGATACGGAGACCGGTGGATCGGGAAGAGCTCCTTGGGGCGGTGGGCTTGCCGCTTGTTCGTATAGTAGAGATGATCTAGTCTCGCTCCTCGAAGTATCGATTGCTTCAGCAACGTCCCTCGAGCGAGCTGCACTGCGCAGAGCTGACAACATCCGGTCTTTGTCTTCAAGCCTCGCCCTCAACTCTGCGATCTCAGCGTCTTTCTCTTTCATTAAGGTGGAAACACTATGGTCTTCTCCAACCATAATGCCCTTGTGCGGCGCTGAGAATCCACTCGAAGTCCGTGACGAGCTAGCACGCCGTGCTTGTAAAAGACGCTTCTCGAGAGTAGCGATATATCGGTTCTTATCGGCGAGATCTGCCCGTAACGCCTGATTCTGGGCCTGCAAGGACGCCGTGCCGTCACCATATTCGCCCAAACTATCCTCGTCGTCATTTGATGCCTGTTCACCGATGCTAGAGCGTCGCTTTCTGATCGATCTCTGACCAATAGTAGACGCCGAAGAGCCCATGGAACCGGGTCTCTCCAACAACGAATGGCTACCGTTAGATGTGGCAATTGATGTCCGCAGAGACGCCTGAGAAAACCTGGAATGCATTCCAAGCGAACTATACGTCCCGCCGGCATTAACTCCCGTAGACTTCGAGCTGAGGATCAATCGGTTCAAATGGTCGATACGCTCTTTCAACGCCGTGCGTGCGAGTTGCATTTCTAACATCTGCTCCTCGTGTCTTGCTTCTGCTTCTTTTTCTCGAACGCGCTCCTCTTCCTCATCCTTGACCTTGTCTTCATTATCCTCGATTTTGCTATTACCTGACTTTGCCTGGGTTTCGAGCTGACTTCTTAACTCTTGTATCTCCATTCGGTAACGCTCCAGGAGAACTCTTGCTCCCCCCTCTCCACCAGCGCCGAGGGCTTCTTCGGCTCGTTTAGCATGGCTGACAATACTGTTTTTCGCTCTTGAAGCGAACTTGAGCGTGTTCAATGTTTCGGTCGCGTGGCTGTTTGCGGAAGCTGCACTATTGGCTGCGCCTGTCTGGATTGTACATAAAATACTGACCAACGAGTTCCCAGAGAGTGCTCCTTGGAGAAGTCTGGTTAACTTGCTATCTCGGTACGGTAGATGCTTCGCATCCTTATCACCTCCTTTGGCCTCTTTGTTTTCCGAAAGCTTCGATATGACCGTGCCTAGTGTTAGCAAACTTTTGTTGATATGAGAACCTTCCGCCCGGCGTTCCTTCGTTTCGGCAGCTTTTTCTGAACCAGCTAGATCGATTAAGCTCAGTGTGGAAACACGAACACCACCTGGAAGTATGCCCGAACGCTTGTTATCTCCACCACCGGGAATGCGCTCTCTACTCTCAACAACGATCTGGACAACGGCATGACTGCGCGAACTCCTGGCATTGAACTGTGTGCTTGCAGTTCTTCGAGCTTGATCACCACGGGCAATCACTCGTAAGAGTTGAGTCGGGCTCTGGACGATTTCTTCTTTCAAGGGCGTGGCATAAACGCCCCGTTTACTATCTTCCCGTAGCTTGATCTCCTCTTGCGCGGCTGCCCCGGAAGCCATACTTAAGAGATCATGGATCCTTTCGTTGTAGATTTCCAGATAGCTGACACGTAATAGGAACTCTCTTGATGGAGTTTCGCGGATATACGAGAAAATGTCCGTTATAGCCAGCGGGATCACGCCAGGTGACGACGCAGTTCCCTGCATGGAAAAAGTCTTTCCAGTACCCGTCATACCATACGCGAATACGGTACCGTGGTATCCTTCCATAACCCGACGAACTAAGCGTTTAGCAAGGTGATCATAGACTCTGCTATTATCATCATGTGTCGTGAAGACATTATCTATCCGCTAGTCAGCTTCATTGTCGACATATACTAGGATTCTTGCGCACTAACCGTAAAAATAATCGCCTCCTTCGCGGCCGCGATAAGCTATTAGAGACCGGCGGCCATCTACCATCCATTCGCCTTCTGGTTTATTATTCCCGTTGCCTCCAGCGTCCGGTCTAACTCTAACGCTAACAAGGACGTTCCCCTTACCCTCCATTCCTTTAGAAGTATGCTTATCACCGACCGAAGTGCCCGCTCCATCGGCTGGATCATCGTATGTAGTGGCTGATGTCGAGTACGAATCCTGGGCAGAAGAGCTTCGGCTTTGCGGCGGAGACGAAACACTGATGAATCCATCCGAGTGCCTCGCACTAGCACCGCCTAGAAGCGATTTTCCATCTGAGCCACCATTTAATAAACTCGGTGCGCTCGCTAATTTAGACGTTGGCTGCGGAGTGCGCGCCTTTCTCGCGGGTGTGATCGATCCAGACAAGGGACTCGAGGGGTAGGTTGCAGTACGGCTCGGCGGTTGAGGAAATGAGTTTATACTGACGGTTTTCCTAATAGTCTTCCCAGCACTATTGACCCCGTGAGAACTCCTTGGAACCGGTAGTGCTGTGGTAGGCGCAGGGGACGGAGGAGGTCCAGAATATGCGTTTGCTGAGGGTGCTCGAAGACCACTCCTGGGTGAAGCTGGAGTTGCTAAGCCGCCGGTACTCTTTCGCGTCTTTGCGACGGGTAGAACTGGAAGAGTGCTTGATGAAGTGCTATTCGAAGCACGTGGTCTAGGTAAGGTGGTCGCCATGATGCTAATAGTATAAAATGTCTATGGCCTGACACAAGACGAGCGGGAGATTCGTTCGACGGCGTTACTTTCGTATCAAATGCAGCCCTATAAACTTCGGGGTGCTCACCGACTATCGCTAGCGAATCGGGTCGGAGATTCGAATTGTCGAATAGAAGATTACAAGATTAGAAGCATCCTTTGCGTCCCATAGCTAAAGTCTTCGCTGACAACTCTCAGAATCAACGTCTCGTCCACCAATTCGGTCGTCGAAGAGCAATCGGGTGCGGGCGACAATCGATCTAACAGGAGGTCGAGCTGGTTATACTGCGGCGACCAAGCAAACAATGCGCCCTCACAAATTTAGGAGAGGCCTCGATATGTATGACCAGTAGGATAAGTCACCGACAAATCCCCATGTAAATGAGCAAGAATCTAAGCCAGCTTCTTTGAAGGTGCTAAGCTATTCTAAGTTACTTGTCAATACGTCACATATTCGAATATCAAAGAAACCCTGCGTGGTGTATACAGATATGCTAATTGATGAACTTACTCTATCCATAAGCTAAGTAGATAGATATGTAAACGTACAGACGTACAGCTAGTATCGCGGTATCGGAGCCCGGTCGAGAATAGTTGACGCTTTCAATTTAGGGTATCTTAGAAGTCAAAGAGATAATTTGCCGGAAACCGACGGCGGAAGGATCCAGCAATTCCTCGTTTCACGGGACGGCAACGGATACAAAGGACAAATGAGACTAGGTCGGTGGTTGGTACTTTTTTGTCGCGGCTCGTTGTGTGATCTACTTTTTCTTGATTGAGGTCCTTGTGGATGAGATAGGGCCGAGACACCTTTTTTTTTCAGAGACACCGCGTAGTCGTTTCTATTTTGGGGAGGAAGAGAGAGAAAGCAAATGAACGTGTGGAGGTATCGCAGTATCGCAGTATCGCAGAAGTAAAAAAGAGGTATCAAAGGTACAAATTAAGTAAGTACGTACGTAGGTAAGTACGTGAAATAAAACGAAAGAAGGGCGAATGGTGAGCGTCAAGCTTGGGTAGCTACCTCAAGCAGAACGATGAATGCTCTCGAAAGAGTATTCGCGAAGGGTTGGAAACTACGAAGTAGGTAGGTAGAGTTCGCGAACTCCAGTGGAGAGGAGGGACGATAGGTTGTGGAAAGTGCTCTCAATATTCCCCCAATGCTCCCCATCCGTCCCATGAAAGTTACCATCCTTGATGTGGTCATGGCTTAACGGTTGGGCTGCTTTGGGTATGGCGTGGGTTCGGGGGGATGAGAGGATGGTAGGTACGTCCAGAAGCTCACCCTAGGGTTAGTAGGAAGTACCCTGTAATATTTTAAGTTGCACGTTGTAGTACCTTAGGTAGTGTACATCACGGTCGAAGCTGCTTAAGTTCCAAGGTTGTACCTAGACTCGTCACGTTTCTATGTTAGGTACATGTGCTAGGTAACTTTAAAAGTTGTGACCTTTTTACATATCGGCAATATTTGACGCGACTAACCTTCAACTTGCATCTTCATCCTCGATTTCGATGAATTCTCTTTGATAATGCAGTAATGCAGCAATGCAGCACGACTCGAGACGAAAAAGGAGAATAATAGATGTTGGTTAGTTACGAACAACACCAAATGACGACCGAGGCAACTAGGGTGTATCTTCATCCTTTCCCTCATTAACGAACCCCTGATACAGGCTCGACCAATACAGTACTTTACATGCAAATTAGAGCCAAGATTGCTGTAGGGGTTTTGCACAATCACGGGCCATTCTCCAAGTATGATCCAGATCCAGGGATTGGATAAGCACGCTTTTCACGACAAGGGGTCCCCTGTCGCGTGTGATAGAGGCTTCGTTTTTCGACGAGAAAAGTAGCTTCGCGTACCTATTGAAAACAAGCTCGACTTCGACGATCCTCTCAATCTCCATCAACAATTCTGAAAGCTTGCTGGCTTCCTGGCTTGCGCGACTTTTGCACGTTTACACCCTGTCTCACTTGCTCGTGGCAATGCCGAGCGGAAAATGGTCTCTCGGTTGTGGCTGGCGCGAATTGCTTAGCTCTGGAGTTGGAGACAGCTAGAACCGATTAATGCGATTAATGCCACTGGCATTGCTTTTCTTCTCCCTTTTCTGACAGGCGGGACAACATCTGCTCGAATGCCACAAGTCTCAGACTTCGCAGTACCTTATTCGAAACCCCTTTATCGTGGAGGGCTACGCTAGGTGGCAGGGCTACCGTTTACCAAGAATCGTCAATCGAATTTTGACTCCATGAGAAAGCTGCCAAACCCTTCTGCCGGGCCAACAGGGCTACATATCTTGGACCCCTGGCTATTTCATCCGCCTACGGAATACTTTCCCCTTTTGACAAAGAGGGTGATGCATTAAAAACATCGCGAGAGGTACCTACTCTTAATGTTAACGGCAGTAAAATGTCGTTTTCTTCTTCGTAAATGAGTACGCGTTCTACAAGGTAAGTGAGCTTAAGCTTATCTCCTGTTCCCACTTGTCGAAGGTTCTTCCGCATGGTACGCTATTTTGTGCGTATGTGAGTTACTCGCATTCATGCTTCGTGGCGGATCAGTCGAGAGTCTTGTATTCGTTGACCCAAACAGACTACATATCCGCCCAGGTAAGATTTTTGGGCCTGCTGCAAGAGCGGGAGTCACAGTTGCAGACGCAATGGAACTTCACCTACGCAGGTACAACACAGCAGCCGATCCTAAAGGACCATATTTCGTCCCCGTTGTAGGTGGGCGGCATTGAAGACACTATTGACAGATTACTACAAATCTCAAATGCCGTCTAAGTTCCGGTTGGCTTCAGTACAAATTCTGCTAACCATGACCCTGAATTGACGAAGTGGGGAGAATTCATTTGGGTAACGAAAAGCTTTTTAAAGAATCCATCTGTGCATCCCCCACGATCAACTGTCAATCAGGGCCCAGGGGGGGTCCTTTGTTTACGCACATTTACTAGTTTCTCTCATCACAGCTCTGTCATGTGGTACTTATCTTGACGGCTTATTGGTTTGAGATCTTGGATTATTCAATATGCGTCGAAACAACCGATTAATCATGGTAATTTCGGAATTTGTCAACCATGCCACATAGTATCGCTTCTGCAAGATGTTAGGTCTGTGCCCCATGCATCTCCCACGCATTGTAAGCACTCTATGCACCGAGTAGGCTAGGTAGTAATAAGAGTTGAATAGGCTGCACGGACTGTCTATCACCTATGCACCCCATCCCACTTTCGCGTACCATAGTTGCATAGTATGGAGATATGTACGTGATTAAATCCTAACCGTCTGTGCAGCAGCGCAATATTAACCTAGCACAGCACGTTCTAATTTGTGATAGATATTGGAATTACGCGCTGCTGTCTCCGCCTGTTTGCCCGAGGATTCATTCATCCCGCTCTTATGTACATACATACACTACATACATACAGCTAAAAAGCTAAGCCTTATGCGGTTGCGATGCGTAGCTTATTGCGCAATCACCCGAGAGTCAGGTTTATCGGGAACAGTCGAGGAGTATCGGTTCGGGAAATAAATACACCTTCACTCCTCCAGCTTACATACCTACCTACACATACACACATACATAGTACTGGCCGCGGGGAATACGGCCGGTTAAAAATCTCAGCCCAAGTCCCAGCTACGGAGAATTCCCATCGTCAAGTGAAATTCTATTAGATCGCAGATACATTAGGATTGCTAGGGGTTCGTTCGTACGTATTTTCTGCTTAGATACCTATATGTAATGTGGTAATAGATACCTACATTTATTATATCAGAGTAAGCAGCATTAAGTACCTAAATAACTACCCTTAAAAAGTCAAAGATTATCCTCTTCTCCAAGAGATCTTCCATAGCCCATCTAGGTACCGTACTCACGCTGTTTCATAAAGATAGGGGTTATCCAAGTCTTGCGATTGGGATGCGGCAATGCTTGCCAATTACGTCGTGCTACATGCATACATTAGGTGCCTACGTAGGAATCATACCACCGTCCTGGAATATCGTCTCGTCGATAGTCGCCCTTTAGGGAAAGTTGAAAGAGATGAAGGAGATTTTACTTTCCTCCATCTAACTAGTTATGTAATTCTACAGAACATCGGATGATCCTATTCAGAGATATTAGATAAGTGATTAGTCGTAGCTACGCCTCCGAGGCTACCCTAGGCTAGACCCCTATATCAGCGATAGGTAAGGTATATATACCTACCTATGTAAGGCTGCTACTAGTGCAGTCGCGTAGGGTAGCGTTTCAACTCTGGCAGTGCATACCATAGTACATAAAGAGCTTGCATCTAGTTGTAGTTACACAATGTACGTAGGTAGTTATTCTTGCGAGATCTTGTCCTTGGCCTGATAAGTACAAGGATGGGTATTTCGGAAGGCTCAGCCAGAACTAGGGAGGGACCCTGGATACCTAAGGCTTGAACGTCTGTCTTCTCGGGGCCTTTTGACAAGTCTCATAGCCTTGCTAGCTTCTCGAACTCTGACCACGTCGGCTATACCGGCTTGATTTATTGTATTGTTCTACAGATGCGGATACGGTAGAGTACGGTATGTTGGGATGTATGTGACTTGCTCCATGTGATAGTAGCTCTACGCCACAAACTAATACCTAACCTATGTAATAACCCAGCTGGCCTGTTCTACCGTTCTCATAACCAGGTGTGACCCTTTAGATCACCGGTGATGCTTGGGAATGATCACGAATCACGACCTCGATCTACCGGGGATCCGTGAATCAATGTGATACCGGCCCGTCGTTACGTTTCTGCTTTACTGTTTCATGTGTCTGCTCTTGGGTTTCTGATCGACGCAAAGTATCCTATCGCAATGCCTACCTACATAGGTATACATACTATCCGTGGTATCGGCTCTGATATTGGCATAATGGCGGTCGTCTATGTTGCCCTTCGGCTTCAGCCGTTACTGCTAACAGGGTTTAGGTTAAGTCCTTCAAAATGGATAGTTATGACTAAAGGCTCCGCGTGTTTCTTCCGTGCTGCTTGAGAAGCGCTAGATCAAGCAAACTGACTTGGAAGCTAGTTGCCTCAATCGTATGATGTTCGTCTCTCCGCTCGCATCGCAAGCCGTATAGCCTAATCCGACGGTGTCGCGTCCGACAGTAGAATCTGTACTCCGGACTGTGTTGCACGAACGGGACGGGGATGTGTCTGATACATCCGGGCGGTGAGTGGTGACTCTAAGATGTTCTTGTAGGTACGTCTATCGAATGCGCAAAATCTCATAGCGCACGTATCCCGCGACCGACGCTTCGGGTGTCGAAAACTTCAACTAAACCAGATCCAACCGCCTCCTGCAAGACCCAGTCGAAAGAAAGCCCATAGAACTGCCTCCATTTTCTTGTCTGCCCAGGCAAGATACTCGCGAACTCTCCTCGTGAGCGCTTAGCTGTGTAGCGCGCTTCTTCTTTGGCGATACCTCCGTCCCACCGATCCCTTAGCACCGTCTCCGGCGCCTCGCGGAATCGCGACTTTCCTAACAACGAGACAAGGTGCTCGAGCGCGGAGGAGAGGAGCCTTAGAAATGTACCGTTTCCAGGCACAGCGAGTCTAAGTTCCGTGCCGGTGGCGTCGAGCCGGGATGCGCCGAGCAAGCCACCTCCAGTACCGCCGGTCTTGTGGACTACACCCTCACCTCCTACGGCACCGAGTGAGCCGGTTGGTTGTTTCGAAATAATATCGAGCGATGTGAGGGTGATTTTGTCCTCCGGTCGCGAATAGAAGTTTGTACTATGGGACGTAGAGCCGTGGCGAGTTGCGCCGGTATGGTTAGCTATCAAAAATCCAGCCTTAATAAGCTGATCTACCTCTGACGCACGAAGAGTATTCGGTCCAAGCGCCTGGACTCCTGGGTTCTCTTTTAATAGTTTAGCCAGGCTAACCTTCGTATCCTCATCTAGTATCGTAGAATCTTTTACCAGCTGCTCGAAGTCTGCGGTGAGTACTATGGTCTCACCTATGTCCCCCCTCCCAGGAACAACTACCTTGCGCAGAAATCCGGCCCGCGCGAGTTCGGCAATTTCCCGCTCTACCGTACTCGGCGACGAGAGTAGAGCTTGTATATGTGATACGGTTACGATCGGAGGAAGACGCTTCCGATAGTTGAGAACTTCTGCGATTCTAGTAGAGTTCATCCCAGCTGCTTGCTCGGGCATAGGGGAGAACATATGACTACGGGTGTACAAGATAGCCTGGGGAACGTCGCGCAAGTTTAGATCGGTCGCTAATGTCTTGACAAGCCCATAGTCGTCGAGCTTGTCATTAAAGAGATCATCACCATCATCTTCATCCTCTGCTAACGATTTCCCACGCTTGGGTCCAGGTTTGCGACGAGGCAGAGAAGAAGCCCACGAGGATGGCGAAGACGAAGACCGGTTTGCGCCGGACTTCTTGGAGGACTTCTTAACCCGGCTGGAGCCTCCTAAGATCGATCTTAAACTCATTTCTAGCAGAAAAAACCATGGGAAAATCCAGAAGCTATCTTTAGTTCATTAGGTTATACATAGTAAGAAATAGTCATATCGTTAGTATATAATCGTTGAATCGTTAGGTGAGCCTAGCCTTGGGTGCCTGACTTAAGAGAGATGTACGTAGTAAGTATACGGGTACCTTAGTCGCCTCAACGAATGAGACGCTAGTAATATACGGAGTGCGCGGTCTGTGGCGGTATTCTCAATAAGGAGAGGTTTGATTGGTTGGAACAAAGCCAGGCAAAAGGGGTTCATTCTTTATGCTAACCGTATTCGGCTTTCTATGAATAACGATCCTCACTCACGAGCCTACCTACTACATTCAATAGGTCTTGTTTTTCAGATTCTTACAGTAGATATAAGTTGTTTAATCTTGTAAAACAACAATAGCGAGGTATTAGATATCTATATCGTGACTCATTTACATCCGATATAGATATTTAATAACTATGCATCGATACGAAGAGAGCGCCAAGAAAATTCTAGTTTGCTCTTTACTTCGTCCCTTTGCCTAAAACATACCTAAGTCGTGTGCTTTATTCAAGATGGCACCAGTCATCATTCTAATACGCCACGGTGAAGCTTTACACAGTCAGTGCCTACCACACGTTTTATCGAGGCGAATTCTAACAGATTATAGATATTGCTGATAAGTCATCTCCGACCACTTGGGTAGAATATAAGGGGCTAACATAATAGACACACGAATGGGAACTACCTGATCCAGTCCTGACTGAGAAGGGTATAGAACAATGCAAAGCTCTCGCGGAAAAACTTGAATCGAATTTCAACTTTGCTCCAGATGCGTGCCGCATAATAGTGAGCCCTTTGAGAAGGACGTTGCAGACCGTACAATATGGTCTGCAGTGGCTTCGAGATCGTGGAGTTCCTACCGAGGTTCGTGCTGAATGGCAGGTATGTATAACGTATCGCTGAGAAACCACCCGCTGGAGTATTAACCACGGTGCAGGAAACCACAGATAAACCCTGTGATATTGGTGATCATCCCACTACAATCAAAGACGAATGGCCCGACTTTGATTTCTCGACCTTAGACCCAATCTATCCTCAGAAGACTGGTCTGTATGAAAATTCGGAAGATGCCTTCCAGAAGAGAGCGTCATTCGCTAAACAATGGCTCTTTGAACGTCCTGAGGAGTGCATCGTCGTTGTCACACACTCAGGATTCTTGAAGAGAGTTGTCAAGGGGCCAAAATATGAGAACGTCGAGTATAGGACATATGAGCTCGTCAAGGATGCGGATGCGGATGACCTAAAACTTAACGAGATCGACAGATATGTCTTTTCTATAGAAACTCTTACTCCGGCGAGAATTACAGGGGAGGTCGAAGACAATGGTAGCAATTGATGCTAGGTATGTCAAGGGAGAGAAACGCATGTGCCCCTTGCTTGGAGGGATGCCGGATGCCTGGCTGCAGTGAATTATAAGTAGGCAGCTAAGGAATACAGGTTATTTTCTGTAATTTTCTGCAATAATAAACGACTTATTACTCAAATTCATAATTGACAATGGTCACAGCACTATCGAGCAGACACAACATAATTCAACTGACTTGCTCGCATATCCGATGAAACGCCGTATTCGATGACACGTGTCGTCGATAAGAGAACGGAATGAAACGCAAGAGACGCGAAGAAATGCGGGAGACTGCAAATTGCGATGTCGCCGAGATTTACCATGGGAACCCGATGTGTAGCAGATATCGGATTCCCTCAAACGAACGGCATGTCATATTCTTGCACTGGACTCAGCCTTGAAGACGGTGAGGATTATTCGTCTGTGAGCAATCAAAAAAGATTGATTAAGAATCGGACGTGCTGATGAATGTAAAGATTAAAAAAAAAAGAAAACGAGCAAAAATTTCATCCCGCGCAGAAATTTACATAGTAGGTGTAGGTACATGGTTACGTGACCCTGCTTCTTACGTAAAAGACCCTACACTAATGCTAGGGCGATCGAAGACCCCTATGAATTTGTGAGGGGTCATTGGTTCGAAACGGGGCTGTACTTTGTGCATACCCGATTCGCACGTGTAGGTACATATACCCCCATATATACATAGTGGACGTGTGGACCTATGTACATACATGGAATAATCCATGTATGTAATTCCATTATTTTACAAAACGTTCCTTTTTCAGTACCTATTCTACATACATGACTCCAACCCTCGGGTCACCACCAACTTGAAATTCTTGATACGTATCCTAAATGCAGTTTCGACAATGAGCAATGAATAAGTCCATTGATATATGTACCTACATATGACTCCCTTGCGGAAATGACGGCACTGCCATCTTACTCTAGTGTGGTGAGCCTGACGTCATCTAGAATGGAAGGACGATTAATAAGAAGGGCGACTAAGAAAAACCACCGGATATCTGCGCCGTCGACTTCTAGACACCCTGATGGCTATCCGGACTGCCGGACTTGGCACTTGGTTGCGTGCTGGAAACACGAGAACAACAGAGCGGCATAGCGGCCGAGCAGTCTTTATCTTTCATCACAGCCAGACCCCTTTGATACATCCCACCTGATGATCCGTGATGGGTTTCTGCAGCTCGACCCCAGCGCAAGTGATCCTTTGCAAACTCTGCAATATTGGACTTTCGAGCAACTAGTGGATGCCATTTAGGCAAGTGTGGTCCCTGACCATTGTCGTGTGCCCATTATAGTGGCCATATTGTGGCGCCCTGGGGCCTTGGATGGGTGTTCCACGATGTCTCAGTTGCTTTCAAGCTCGTCTCTCTGCGATTAGCTTCCTACACGTGCAGAATCCAGCGTTATGATTCGTCGCCTATTGTCAGCCTTCAGCCTCGTGGATGGGAAACACCAAACCCTAATAACTAATTTAAGAACCCCATGAGCTGCCTTTGTGTGTCCTACAGTCCTGGGGGTTAAGGACTTGGGAAATTTTACTGAATACTGAATAATGTGATGGTGCTCAAAAGCCTCACTTGAGAGTCGGAACGTAGCATTTAGACTACTTTCTACTTTACTACACTATCGCCTCTTTACCCACTTGGCACCGAACCTTTGGCTAGAGACACAGCCAGCTAGCCCTGTTTTGCATCTCGCCGCCGATCATTTGGTACGCTTCGAGAAACTACGGCAGCTAATAACGGAATTCTTCAAACATTGAACACGACAACATTAGATATCCTTTTTCTTCAATTTACCAACCTATAAGCTAATAACCATCACTTATCTATGCGATATCGTCTTCTCATCCATTTTTTTTTCATAGCTCCTAGAGCATCGTAAATCGTCCAGGATGGTGCTGAAGAAAGCAACATGGCTTTGGGTAATTCCCAGCCTATTGGAGACTTTCGTCATAGGTGCTCCAACTACCGGAGCTCAATATGTGCTGCAAGCAGGCCATAACAGAGGTAGCCAGTCTACGTCGCAGCGCAAGTTGCACGGCAGATTTCTGCATATTACAGGTACACTCTTCCGTAAAATGCCTACTACACACCATCTCCAAATCCTTTTTTTCAAAGACGCTAATGTCTCGTACCTTGCGCAGATCTACATCCAGACGAATACTACAAAGTCCACACATCTACCAAGGAGAATATCGCATGTCACCGAGGTCAAGGCCCGGCTGGAACTTATGGCGCAGAAACTTCTGATTGCGATGCCCCGCTGGCGTTGGTGGACGCGACACTCAATTGGGTTGCCGCCAACCTGAAGGACGAGATTGATTTCGTGGTTTGGACTGGCGACTCAGCCCGCCATGACAGCGATGAGGAGAAACCCCGCCATAACAAAGAAATCCTAGCTATGAACCAAAGAATTGCCGACGCATTTGTGACTACATTTTCCGACGATAAGGGGCTGGTAGTTCCAGTTGTCCCAACTTTCGGCAACAATGACATATACCCACACAATATATTATTACCAGGTCCGAACCAGATTTTGAAGACTTATACCGATGTCTGGCATGATTTCATTCCAGAAGCGCAACGGCACTCATTTGAATATGGTGGCTGGTTTTATGTTGAAGTTATCCCGAACAAGCTGGCCGTCTTTAGTCTTAATACCTTGTACTTCTTCGATCGTAACGCGGGGGTCGACGACTGTGCACACCCAAGCGAACCCGGATACAAGCACTTCGAGTGGCTGCGAATCCAATTGCAGTTCATGCGAGAGCGCGGGATGAAGGCTATTCTCATAGGCCATGTTCCTCCTGCCAGGACTTCCGGCAAGCAACTATGGGACGAAACCTGCTGGCAGAAATACACCCTCTGGCTGCAGCAGTATCGCGATGTCGTTACCGGCTCTCTATATGGACATATGAACATAGACCATTTCTTACTTCAAGACACTAAGGATATCGACTTTTCCTTCATCGAAAGCGAGCCTAATCAACGAGCAAGTATTCGCGAGACCATGGACGATGAGGTTTCGATCGAATCGAGTAAAGACTACCTCATAGAATTGCGCGACGACTGGTCTAAATTGCCAGACCCGGTTCAAGGCCGGGGCCTTGAAGAATCTGGGAAGAAAAAGAAGAAGGGCAAGAAAGGCAAGGGTAAGAAAGGCAAGGGAGGGAAGAGCAAGATGGGCGGGCCTTTCGCGGAGCGATACCAATTGACTCTTATCAGCCCTAGCGTTGTCCCCAATTACTTCCCGAGTCTCCGTGTTTTCGAATACAATATAACCGGCCTTGAGGATACCCTAACGTGGGTAGACACGTTGCGCGCCTCTGGTGCTCAAGCCTTTTCTCCCAGCACGGAGGAATGGCATGAACTAGAGCTTCGTGAAGAACCCAATCTAGAAGTCGAGAAGAAGAAGAAGAAAGGGAAAGGAAAGGGCGACAAGAAACCCGATGACACCAAATTCCCAATTCCAGACGCACCAGCCAAGGGAACGCCTCCGGGCCCCGCATACTTCCCCCAGCCTTTGACGCTCAAAGGCTTCACCCAATACTACGCGAACCTGACGTATCTCAACAACGACATCACCGCAGACGACGGCGACGACGACGACGAAGTGTCGTCTTCGAGCTGGAATGCGGGCAAGCACTGGAACAAGAAGCCCAAGCACGCTAAGCCGAAACCGAGAGAGTTTGCCTACGCGGTCGAATACACCACCTTCGACGACAAGATCTACAAGCTGAAGGACTTAACGGTTAAAAGCTTGCTAAAGCTCGCGCATAGGATTGGTCAGGCTTCGGCTATTTCTGAGGGGCTTGTTGGCGAGGAGTCCGAACACGATTATAATGATAACGAATATGAAGTTGATGAAGTTAACGAAGACGGTGATGAGTTTGATAGAGAGGGAGAGGAAGAGGAGGAGGAGGGGTCAGATACCGACTTCGAAATCGAGAAGAAGAAAAAGAAGAAGCACCGTAAAGGCCACAAGAAGAGAAAGGATACTAAGGTGTGGCTGCACTTCCTTAGACATGCGTTTGTTAGCACGAGGAGTATAGACGAGCTGAGGGATCTCGAATAACCCGGCAAAGAACGGTTTTGATTGGGTTCTGGGTCTGGGTTTAGGCGTGATTACTTTTATATATACCTACCTATTATCGGTTTTTAGACTACATAGGGAGTTCCGGCTGGGCGTGGGCGGCGCTTTTGGGGGGAGAGCGTTTTGTTAATTACCTAGGTTACCTGAGTTGGTTTTTATTTTTATTATATGGCTTGGGTCTTTGGGAGTGAGCGATGCGGGAGGGATAGGTATGACGATGATGATGATGACTGGTATATAAGTGGTCTTGATGCATGGCATGGCATGGTATGGCATGGCATTAATGCATCTCGGTTGGACGGGTTCATATGAGGATCTGGGTCAGGTAATACCTACCAAATGTATATATTTGGAGCGGCCCACATAGGGAAGGGATCCAACTTACCTACTTACCTAAGGTAGGTAGCTATTTAGAAAGGCGGCGCCGCTTTTGGGTGGGCTACCTGTTAGACGGCGTTATGCCGTTTGACCTATAGCATTGGCATAGGCATGGGCATCACTTAGGAAGGGAAGCATGTATCCAGGTACAATACCTAAATCCGCTTATGTAGGTAGATTTAGATTTGCGAAGCGAATAGGTACCGAAATTATCATCAATCATCATTATCATTCCTGGTATCTACAAATCTATGCAAATACCTACCTACCTACCTACATAGCACGCCTCCTCCTCCTAAACCTAGCCTCAAGCTGCTATATATATATAGATATTCTAAATAGGTAGTCAGCTTATTACCTAACCTTCCAATATTATATATACCTACCAGGTAGGTAAGCAGGCAAGGCAAGACACCATTAATCCGAATCGCTATCCTCCGACGAAGAGAAGCCATTCCACTCCTCCTCCTCCGTATCATCCAGCACACCCGTCTTACCTCCATCACCACCACCGGCCTCCTCTTCTCCCTCCCCTTCCCCCTCGTTATCATCGTCGTCGTCGCCACCATCATCATCCCCCTCCTCAACTTCAAACGAGCCGGTAATATCCCATCTGTCACCAGGCGCCTTGTGACTGACGTACTTGACGAACTTGAGCGTGCCGCTATCGCGCAAGACCAGGGACATCTTGTTCCAGGCCGCGGCCTGGAAGAACAGTATGTTATCATCGTCGCCGCTGGACTTGTATACGGCCGCGTCTTCGTTTTCTGCATCGTCGTCGCCTGCCATGTATACCTCATGGCCGCCGACTTCCACCTCTTCCTCTTCCTCTTCCTCTTCCTCCTCGGGCTCCTTCTTGCCATTCTTGTTCTTCTTTGAGGCCTCAGCCTTAGGTTTGGCTTTGCCCTTCCCCTTGCCGTTGGCTTTGGTATCCTCGAGCCCTTCTTCTTCTTCGGCGGCGGCTTCCTCTTCCTCGTCTTCCTCGCCCCAGCCGCTTGTCGGCGTGATGCCGAGGGATAGTTCGAGGCGCGGCTTGCCTTGGTGCCCTGTGGCGAGCGTGTAGTCTTTACCGCGTCTAAAGCGCCTAGCGACGAAGTCGTGGCTCTCAATCACGGAGTCTGTCGCCATCTGTAACCAGCGGCGGAACTGCGGGCTCGGGAGGAATTCCTCTAGGAGCTCTCTTATAGGTGAGTCTTCCTTTTTCGACTTTCCATTCTTTTTAGAGGTGGCGGCGTTGTCTGGTTGAAGATATAGGTACCGGTGTTTATGGGGTGGCTTTGCTACCCGCCAGGCGCCCTTCTCAATCTCCGCGGCGTCTTCCGGTAAAGGCGCGCTATCTTGAGCGGCGACGTAGTCTCGTAGTCTCTTTGCAAACTTCTTCCCGAGGAGGTTAGGTAGAGTGATGCTAGCCTCTTCCTCGAATTCTTCCAAGATTCGCTCAAGGGTGTCAGGAGTAAGGTAGGTCGGGGCCATATACTTGAGCAAGAACTCTAGGTCGGCCTCGTCAAATTCTTCTTGAGAACCCGACTGTGGTTGCTCGACCGGGACCGGGTTCAGCTGGGGCATGTCATACTGATCTGGGTTTCCTTGCAGTTGCATCAAACCGCTGTTCTTGGCCTGCTTCTCCTCGGCGCCTTCGACGTATCCGGCCTCTCCGACCTGAGGGATGTGGAACCAGCCACTGATAGCCATACGGACCCTTCCTCCCTCCTTCTGGAGTTGCTCTTTGCTCTCAGCATGGTATACCTCTTCGACATCGTGGAAGCTCTCGCCAGGTTGAACGGCAAAAAAACTCAACTGGTTCCACGCAGGGGGGATCACCTTGCTGACGTCCGGCGCAGGTGTCTTCGCAACTTGACCATCTTTGCCCTTGATCGTCCGCACGGGGAAGAGTCTTAGCGCGCCGCCCCATTCGGCTTTCCAGGGAATGTCGGGATCGGTCAGGTAGAGGATATAGCTGACTTTGCGACTACCAATAACGTCGTCGTGGCATAGAAGATAGCATCCCGGGGTATATACGTTAATAGCCATGTCTGTCTTTCTACCACTCAGGGGGCCGCATCCAGTAATATGCGCGACATAGTCCCGGAATGCTTGCGAGTATATTGCGTCCCTAAGAGCAAGTAGGGAGGGAAGCCTAGCTAGAGCCTCATCGTCTAAGCCGTCGAGGTTCGCAAGGTCGCCGGATTGGTGGATCTTATAGATGTCAGTTTCTTTAGGGGTAAAGGAGACATTGTCCTTAATCTCCTCGCGGACGGATCGTAGTAAGGTATCGTCGATCAGCTCGTGGATGACGCTATGCTTGTAAGGTGTGGATTTGGCATATCCTTGGGTGTATTTGTCCAAAACGTCTTTGTCAAAGAGACCTTTCCTGAATCTCTTCTTAGCTTCATCGTCGCTCAGTGCTATGATAGTAGTTAGTTGTGTTTGTTGCGAAAATTTTCAGAATTCCTTTCTAGCAGGATCGTACGATAGATGATCTGCTATGTAGGTTGGGCGACTTACAAGTCTTCTTAGACTTCTTTTTGGCAGGCTTATGGCCTACAGCTTGCGATTGGGCTTTGCGCTTCATTATGGATTGCCAATTGGGTTTATATTAATTAAATAGAATTAATTTCGAGTTTGGGAAATGTGTGAAGGAGCTTAGGGAAGCTATTTTGAACATGAACATGAACAAAATGAATAAAACTCGCGATTTTCTTTTCTGATCGACTGATAATCAGTCTTCTCGCACTTTTCAATTGGCAAAAGTAACGGCAGAAAAAAAGAAACTGGAGCAAACGACGACCGGCTCCATCCAAGTTTCATCTATCGAAGTTAGCGCCATCTTCACCGCCCGACCCACCATGGAGAGAGCTTTACTGTGTAAGGTAAGGTTGTTTAAGGTTGTTAGGTAAGGTTGCTTATCAACTCATGCCACTATCCAATGCCCCTCCTCCTCTTAGTGACTAGTCTTACTTCCTTCCCTCCCCTCCCCTCCCCTATTTTCTTACCGCTATGGCTGCTGCACTACTTTGATATTTCTCTCCATTCAGCTCCAATGGTTCAAAGAATCCCAAGTAAAAATAACGGATCTGGCTGCACGATTATGAACAGATGCAACCAAGTCATGTATATATAGAGCATGCACTATGCGTACTCTACACCCACCCTCCTCTCAACGCGCCTCCGTAGTAGGACCCCATTGGCGGTTAAGTCGTCATGCCCGGCAATCCTTTAATCGGAGTTACAAGTTGGTACTATATCAATACGGGCTCCTGCGGAAAGGCTTCCTTGTGTGGGACGGGATCACGTCAGGAGGCGTCCGAGGGCGGCAGTTCTGCTGTAACTGTTAGGCATGTTCAGTCGCATTCAACCGCCGTCTACGAATATTGCACATATTATTGACCAATAAATTAGAATTGTAGTCTCGGAGTCGGTCTGAGATGGTAGAGACACTCTTTTATGAAATACGGGTAGCCCATAGTCGGTTCTGGGGGCTACGAGATCGACCACCATACATCAGTTCCTACTCCGAGGAGCTTCGTCCGGGAAAATACCTCCATTAAGGAGAAACTCGTTGTGTCAATGTCACAATGGAATTGGGATACTGCCATCGACTCGCTTTAATGTCCCGAGATTTCAACTGGACTTACCCGTAGCAGAACCCCTATCTTGGTATTCTTATATGTGTAGCTCGTTAAGGTGTTTGAACCCGAATAATCACGGACGTCAAGTTGATCGCCCATCATTACGATATTTTCACCCGCACAACCTCGGTTGCCATACTATCACATATCAGAAATATTCTATGCATTGCTCAGCCAGTCGGGTAACTATTAAGTTGACAGACATACTATTTCCGTTCCCAGATGGCGATGGCATAAAGTAACATTCTTTCTCCGAGCGAATAGTAGAGCCGAATCGTTGGGGGAATCGAGTCCCCCTAGGCTCCTATTAACAACGAGGTTCAAACCTGCTAGAAATATTCGGCCCCTTACAGCCCAGCCAAAAAGCCAAAGGGGGAGATATTGACAAAAAAAGTAGTCTTACTCTAATATTATTCCATTATTAAAGTCCCCCGTTATTCCGAGTACAACAGAACTATGTTCATTCAACTAATATAATACTCCTCAATTACCATCTATAAACTAGGTTGGGGGATAGAAATAGAATGCCCGAGCCAGTTCATTGTTTCCCATTATATGGCTTGCATAACTGTGCCGCTGTTTTTACCGCCAGTAGGCGCCTGTGTGGTATCTATAGCATCCACTCACAGCTCGGGATATAGTATACACGGCATTAGTATAAGCCCACGAAGCGCCGACAGGACATATGAAATTGGCATGCGCTACATATCATGTTAACTCATTATATTTTCTGATATTATTAAAAATAGGCAAGGGATAACATATCGGGGTAGACGAGGTGGCCAAATTTACACAAGTGATTCGATGAAGTCTCAAGTAGGCGTTTAAGGCTCATGGGTATGGGTCGTATAAATAGGCGTATTTATAGTCAGGTAACATGTTTCCAGTTTATCAACTACCTAACCTATCGATACCAGATATAGTATAGAAACAAGCATTTATAGTACACCCCGCATTCAACGTCATTAGCCGGGCTAAACTTTATAGCGCAAAGGTTCCAGATCACTGGGTTAGGTACAAGGGGGACTTGTAAGTTCACATCCGCTGAACTAACCTCGGATTTCGGAATAGGAGAGCGTCTGGATTACGAAGGTTTAGGTTAACTTAAAATTAGAAACAACCTAAGTGAACCACCAAGTGTCCAAGGCGAATCTAGATAATAAAGACAAACCCATAAAATGGTGGTCACCTTCGACATCGAAGCCGATAGGGCCAAATTCCCTGCTTTGAAGGAGGACCAGGTCTTCCTCGACAACGCAGGCGGAAGCCAGACGCTAGGGGCCGTCATCGAAGCGTGAGTAAGAAAGAAGAAGAAGAAGAACGTCCCAGATTCTATAGTTGAACGAGAAAATCTGCTCTAACAAACCAACTAGTATAAGCGACTACCTCATCAAGAGCAACGTCCAATTTGGAGGCGGCTATAAAGCCAGTAAGGCATCAAGCTCTCGCTACGACAGCGGCGTAACCGCCGGAGCTAAGTTCCTCAACGCGGAGAAGGACGAGATTGGTAGGTTTGCTTTACTCGCTTACCACTTACCACTTATACCTGATCCCTCATCTCTCATCCTTCATACAGCATAATAGCATAATAGCTCACTCACTCACTCACTCACTTACTCACTCGCCCATTAACATCCACCAGCCTTCGGCCCCTCAGCCACGCAACTCCTCCGCAACCTATCATTCACATTCCACTTCCAACCCGGCGACGAAATCGTCGTCTCCTCCATCGACCACGAGGCCAACATCGCGCCGTGGAAAGACCTCGCCCACCGCCTAGACCTAGTGCTCAAGTGGTGGACGCCACCACGAGATCCTGATCAACCAAACAACACCAACCCGCGCCTCTCGCCCGCGGACCTACAACCCCTACTATCCCCCAAGACGCGCCTCGTAACATGCACGCACGCCAGCAACGTCCTCGGCTCGATCCACGACGTCAAAGCCGTAGCCGCGGTCGTCCGTAGTAGCGCCGCGCCCCAAGCCCTCCTGTGCGTCGACGGCGTGGCCTATGCGCCGCACCGCCCCGTCGACGTGAAGGATCTCGGGGTGGACTTCTACGTCCTGTCCTGGTATAAGGTGTACGGGCCGCATGTCGCGATGCTGTACGGGAGCCGCCGGGCGCAGGAGCAGATGCGCTCGCTGGGGCACTTTTTCAATCCGCATGCGACGCTTGAGAATAAGATTAGTCTTGGTACGTATAAGAAGAGTACGGGGTGCTGACTTACTAAGGAAACCCCCCCTTTTCTCTATTTACCCCTTTCTTCCCTGCCTGAGCAGCAATCAATCGGAATCATATACCTATGAGCCGAGAATCGAATATACTATAAAATAAAGGTTCTTGTTTTCACCTACCTATTCTACCATACTGATTTACATTACATCTAGGAAGCGGGTGTTACGAACTAGTACAATCCATCCCCCCCATCGTCGACTACATCGGACATCCCTCCCCCTCCTCCTCCTCCTCCTCCTCCTCTTCCTCCCCCTCTTCCTCCCCCAACAACAACAACAACAACAACAACAACAACAACAACAACAACAACAACAACAACAACAACCTATGGCCCATCATCGCACATCACGAATCGCAGCTCCAATCCACGCTACTAGCCTACCTAGCTTCCAAGCCGGAGAAAATCACCATATACGGCGAGCCCAGCGCGGACGGCGCCCTGCGCCTGCCCACCGTGAGCTTCGTCGTCGCGGGCTGGGACTCGCGGGAGCTGGTCGAGACGCTCGAGCGCAGCACCGGCTACGGCTTCCGCTGGGGCGCGTTTTACTCGAACGCCCTGGTGCACGGGTTCCTGGGCCTGGGGCCGAGCGGCGTGGTTAGGGTTAGCATGGCGCATTATAATACGCGTAAGTCGAATGAATGAATGAATGAATGAATCTGTTTATCTACCTACCTTCTATCTATCTATCTATTTCCTAAAGTTACCTACCTAAAGCATGGATCTAGAGGCTAATGAATGACATTGCGCGTGTGTGTGCAGTGCAGGAGATAAAGGGGTTTATCGAGGCGCTGGACGGGGTCATATCGAAAACGGCTTGACTTGGCTGGCTGCATGAGGTCATCACCTAAGATTAGTTAAACATGTATTCTTTGTGGTAGATTTGTTGGTTATCTAGGTAGGGTTTGGAATATAGGTCGCCTTTGACTACGGTACATGTTTATATATAGGTAATGTCCGGCTCATGCGGGTAGCCATGTCCTAGCCCCTGGTCAAGAAGAATATTTCAAGATAAACCAATACTTTGGTTTCAAACGGATGGATGCGTGATACTTGAAGTACCTTAGGTAGACTTGGAGTAATTGGATGCTTATGTTCATCTCTACGAGTATATACCAGCTGTTCCCTATCCAACGTCCCACGCCCAGCTATCAAGCCGCTAAGTACACACACACACACGCCATGCCTATCCATCCATGCCTCTTCCATTTCCCCTCTTACAGCTTCCCATACCTCGAATCGACGGTCGTCCTCAACAACGAGATAACTTCCGCGGGGTCCTGAGCCCCGAACACAGCGCTCCCCGAAACGATAACATTGGCGCCCGCGTCCGCCGCCTGGTCGATGGTACTGGGGCCCACGCCGCCGTCGACCTCGATGTTCAGGTCCGGGTACTTCTTGCGCAGCGCCTGCACCTTGGGCAGTTCCGACGCCATGAACTTCTGGCCGCCGAAGCCGGGCTCGACCGTCATGATGAGGACCATCTGTGTTATTTGGGGTTAGTTCGTTCCAATTAGGTACATAAATACAACAACTCCCTCGCCCTCTCGCTCCCAGAGTATAATACGAATAAAATAAAATAAGGCAGTGTATTTGTTAGGAAGGGGGGGTAAGGGTGAACGCGCGAATAAATAGTACGGGGACAACGCACATCAGGCCGCTCCTTCGGATCCGGGCTCTCGAGCAGCTCGGTCAAAACCTCGACGCCCGTAGCGGGCTTCAGCGCAATACCGGCAAGCAGGCCGCAGTCGTGTATATACCGCAGCAGGTCCTTCGGGTTCGTCTTCTCGTCCGTCTTATCCTCGGGGCTCTCGGCGGCGCTCGAGAAGGCGGCTTCGTAGTGGAAGCAGTATAGGTCAGCGCCAGCCTTCTTGAAATCTTTGACCCATTTCTTGGGCTATTTATACATCTATGGTTAGCTCCTATTCCATTGTTCCGGTATGGATGAGATAGCGGGATGGTTAGGTATTTATTGTGGAAATTGGGAAGAAAAAAAGGGGGTAAGTAAGTAAGGGGTAAGGGTGGCGTCGTGGGATACCTCGGAAATCATCATATGGCAATCGAACGTCCCGCGCCCGTGGCTCTCGGTAGGCTTATCGACGTAACTCCGAATCTTAGCCACGACGGGCGCGCCGAACGTGATATTCGGTACGAAGTGGCCGTCCCTACGCATATAAACAAAACACCTCACGGTCAGCTATCCCAACATATATTTTACACATTACTCGAGAGTCAACGCAGACCACCGTTCGACTTAATTCTATAGATAGACGCTAGTACGACGACGCCGCATTACTCCTAGGATTACGTACATGATATCGACATGAAGCCAGTCGGCGCCCTGCTCCATAGTCCTCGCGCAGTCGGCACCTAGCTGGGCGAAGTCGGCCGACAGGATCGAGGGCGCTATTATTGTCTTGGGCGCCATGGTCGTAATGCCTAGGTGAAGGACTGGTTGGACGTATGTATGTAGGTAGGTTAGGTATCTTTACGCGCGAATCAGGGGTAGTTTGTTTGCAAGCTCGAAAGGACCCGGATGTCTCGTTGGTAGTAGGTTTTTGCGTGAAAGTGAAACAAGGGTACGGGACAGAGACTACGGGACTAACGTCACAGGAAGAAAAGATGGCGGGGCAGTTCGCAGTTCGGTGGTGGGGGTAGAGAAGGTGGGGTAGACCCCTCAGCTTAATTCCCCATCTGCCCATTCCCCTATTTTTATATTTCTGTTCAGATATGCATTTAGGAGAAAGGCCTACAGAGTTATATTTTACACAGTTAATTATCACAATGAAGTAACAGTATGATACCAACAGATGTAGAGCCAACGTAGTTTTTTAACAACGTTTTCCTCGAAGCTGATCAACTTTCGAATTAATCCGAGTGACTATTTAGTTGACTACCTAGGTACCTAGTCATATACTACTAGACTAGACACGCAGGCGTATCCCGCATCCAAGCCCTGACAACCCTTACTCTTCCTCAGGGACCGTCTCCGGAACAGTCTCCTCTTCGCCATCTTCATCGAAACTGCCGGCCGGAACTTCGTACAGTCGAAGGATCGACTTGTTGGGATCCTTGACAAGCACAAACTTGCCATCCTCACGCTTAAGACACATGTCAGCGATGGTGCGCACGATACCCCAACCGTTGGAGAGCGACAAGTTCATCTGGTTAGCGAAGTCCTTGGGCTTCCACCCTATAACTCCCAGGATTACGTGCTTGTCGTTCGACTTCGGGTTGGCACGAGAAACGAAACTAGGTAAGGTGTTAGCAAGGTATACCCATAGTTAACAGTTAAATGTAGTGGAACTAACCCAAGCTTCATGACGTCCGCCTTGGACAATATACTTTGGACTGTCCATCGTGCGAGCTTGACGCTGTTGTTCTTCATCTCCGTTGCGACAACGGCACCACGCTGGCTTACCAGCTTTGTTCTCCAGTCCAAAGCACCGCCGCTGCCTTGGGCCTTGCTGTCAAACTCGTTGAGAGCCTTGACGGTCAAGAACTGATCCTCGCCGCTAATAGCGTTCTTTTGAACAGCATCCAGCTCGGCTCGGACAATCAGATACATCGGATCCTCCTCGCTAGTCGAGAGGTCAAATCTGCGGTACTTGTAAGCCTTGCTCGCCGGAGGCTCAGTCTCTTCGGAAGCATTGTAGAAGGGGTTTTCGTGCGCCATTTCCACCTTCTGGGACTCGTTCTCCTGGACGACCTGGTTCGCGAAGTTGTGGTTAATGTAGGTAGCCTCCTCTGCTAGGGCAGCAGGCTGGTTGATTCCATCCTTGTTGCCGTCGGAAGATTCCATGGGGGCATCGGCAGCGTTTTCGTTCACCGTCACCATGTCCAGTGCGGCATTGTCGCGCTTGTCGAGGAAGATCTTGTTTCCTTGTCTTACAATTACAATATCCCACGGGTAGACAGAGCGGGTAGAGCACATGAGCATAGATAAGATGCTGTCGGTGGCAAAGATAGTGGCTTCGTCCTTGTCGGCTAGCTCTTGAATAACCGGGTCCGATGAGGTCGTAACGTTGTAAGCAGCACGATCTATAGGCACCAGCCTCTTCTCGGCAGCCTTGACAGGTTGCTTGTCGTAAGATCGATCATAGTAATAAAGGAAACCGTAGCTATCCATGTCCTCTCCTTCGTCGGCGTCTAGGTTTAGCTTGGCAAGTCTGTTGAAGTCAATCTCCTCCAGTAGTTGCCAGTCTGCTTTGATGTTGATAGAGGCGTCGCGGTTACGAGTCGGCTTGTCGTAATCTTTCCATCCGAAGCGGCGGCCGCGAGGCGCATTAGAACGGCCACCGCGGCTGTCGTATCCTCCGTAGCCTTGCTGGCCACCACGCCCAGGGCGCTGAAGCTGTACGCGACCACCCCTCGTGTCTTGTCGGGCACCTCGTTGCCCGCGGCCGCGCGTAAAGACTGCGCCCCGACCGTACCGAGTCTTCGTAGGTTCTCTGCTGACGACGGAGAATGTGTTTTCATCCTCGGCTACAGGTGCAGTAAATAGCGCGGCGCTGCCAGCACCGTAGATCTGCTGGTCTGTACCGGATTGAATATCAGTACTGGGAACTAATGAGTGTCAAGATGGAGGCAATCTAGCTTTACATACCCCTGAAGTTGCGGTTATACTGCTGTCTGCCACCGCGTCCGTCTCTTCCATCCTTGCTATCCGCTGTCCAATCTGCCATGCGACCCAGCTTGTCACCTTTTGAGAAAGGAGCATACGGGACACCGTTGAGGGTGGTCTCGGTTACCGGAGGGGGACCCCATCCGTCACCATCAGGCAAGGCCGCAATGATGTCGGCTAAGGAGGATGTCATATTTGATGATCTCGGCAGTATTGTATCTACTATTTATCTTCACCTGGAAGTAATATAGCTTTGTTGAATGATACCTTGATATTGTTGTTTTTTCTTGGCCAGGGCGTGGCTCGTCGAAATTTTGGCTGCAGGCGAATATTTTAGCAGTGAATCAAAGAGTTTTGGTGGGGTGTGGGGCAGTTGCACAGCCTGACAGCGTCGGATCTTGGTTAGTGGAGTACCGTGTACGTACCTAACCTATGGTATGCCTTCCAGAGAAGGACAGTTAAAAGGGATATCGCGACTCTATTATTAGCACTGTACCTGAAGTCTTTACATATGGAAGCTCCTAGGGACGGTTTAATAATTAAGGTAATATGCAAGCTGGAAAGAACCTTAGTAGACATACATAACCTTTCTTCATGCATCATGAAAACTCCCAAATAGTATTTTAACGCTGTTATGCCTCTAGTGTATACCCAGATAAGTACATGAATGCGTTCTGCCCGTCGTCTCTCATCTCTCTTGGGTACTTATCATGACCGCTTGTAATAACAATCACCATCGTCATTATCATCGCTTTATATACCTATGCATAAAGTAAAACATAATGTCTAAAGAGAAACAACAAAAACTTTAACGGCCCGTCCCCTATCCCCTAATAGGCCGTGCCCACCTCCGACTTTGCGGAGAAAACGGCATTGAGCGCATCCCGCACCTCGAACTCCTCCAACACAGCTCCGAACCTGCGAGGAAAATAAATTAATTAGCATCAGATCAGACCTGGTAAGCAGGACATAGAGAGAGGTAGGTTAGATAGATTAGGTAGAGGTAGGCAACACATACCCATAGCAACGGACTTTGCCCTTGAGATCATCCACCAACCGATCCAAGTCCTCGCTCCTCAGCTCCCTCAGCTTCGGATGGGACAGAACCATGCCCCAAGCCATGACGGGCGTGATCTCGCCGTCGAGGTTCAACTTGGTGCTGAGATCGAGGAGGGTCGACAAATCGCCTTTGGACAGCTCCCACGTGCGCTGGCGAGACGGCGCCGAGCCCCGGTCGCCGTGCGTGTGCGAGTACCCGAACGGGATCTCGTCGCTTAGCTCGGGGAACGGCTCCGGCGGACACGAGGCCATGAGCGCGTGGCCCGCCGCGTCGCCGCGAGTGTCTTGCGCTCGCTCCATCAGCCACGGCATGTGGTCCATACACGGTCGCTCGAGCCTGTGCGCCCCATCGTCAGCACGGGATTTGGTTAGCTTCGCTGTACTCCGCGATCGAAAATTTACATTTTTTTCTTATTTCTCTCTCTCTCTCGCGTATGAAACAGGCATATATGTGTGTGTATGTGTATGTGTGTATGTGTTTGTGTGTGTGTGCATGTGGTGACGACCCATTGCTACTACTGCGGGGGAGGTGATATGTACGCCTTCGAGGGGTCATCGGGGTTATCGTACGTTAAGACGAAATCTATCCCAGCCTGTTCGTAATCTACGTGGTGGCCCTGCTGCTGCTGCTGCTGCTGTGCGCCTAGCCCCTGCGACGACGCCGCCGTCATGGAATTCGGACTCGACATCGACGTCATGCCCGGCGTGTACGCGGTGTTGGAGCTTCCCGCCGCGTAGCCGCCCGAGATGCTACCGTTGGACGTGTACCCGGGGCTCAGGCTGCTGCCGATATCGTCTACGCCGCCTCCCGGGCTGTGCGAGATGCCGTTTTGCTGCAGCAGGGTTTTGAGCTGCCGGTTTTCCTCGGCGAGCTTGTCTTTGTCTTGCGAGACGTTGGTGTAGATCTCTTTAAGCCGCAGCACCTCATCTTCGAGCGCCTTTATGTATAGCTCTTTGCGCTCCCGATGCGTCCTACCGACGGATGGTTAGTAGGGGTTGTCACCCGCCGAACTCACAAGTACAAGTCTGTGATATACCTCTGTGCTTGGCGGTTCAATTCTTGCCGGCGTGTTAGCGCCGGCTTACTATCGGGTTTAGGCCCTCGCCGCTTAGGGGGGTTGCCATCGCGGGTGGTCTTCTTGTCGTTCAACGACTTTAAAAAGTTGAGGTTTAGCGAGCCAAGAGGACCCTTGTCAGGCTGGGACTCGTTGGGGGGCGACGCAGAAGACGACATCGAAACGTGTTCGTAAAGCGAGCCCAAGGAGGGTTTGTGATCGGATGGCGAATAATGCGTTGGAGGAGACGGATAACCAACTACGGGTTGCGGGTTAGTGCTTTTGGCCATGGTTCATCAGAGCGGCTTGGGCGACAGAATGCGCGATCCAAGATTGGGACATGATAGGGGGTATCGAATAAGGTAATAAGATCCGAATTGATGGGAGATGCTTCGTTTATGTGCTTCGTAGAGCGGGGTGAGAATGCTACATAGTATATGAATGACCTACCACACCTTTCGATTCAGCCTTGAATCGTCGTGAGAACGGATCTTATTAGTATACCTAGGTAGGTAAGGTTAAAGATGGGCTTTTACTACTATTAGTAGTGAACGTCTCCGCCAGTCCGGTACTATATAGAAGCGCTATAGGATCTAATATGCGCCGCGTGGGTAGGACTATTTGGTCTCACAATTGGTATGAAACTACGTAATAAATAGAATACTAAATAGAATGTCTGAGACGATACGCTGAAAAAAACGTTGGTCAACCATTCTAGAGGGGCAGAACCCCACGGTAAGATAGGTGGCCGTTCTAGAGGCCTATGTCTCTTCTTAACAACCTGATAGATGTAAGAGATTGGTTATGCGATGAATAATAGGAGGATATTGTATCAGGAAAGACTCTAGCAGCGGGCGCCTCTCCTGAAGATTTGAAATATCCCCTCGCTGCGTGGCTCTGTAGGACTGCTTATATCCATGTAGTAACTAATATCGTTGTGATCTGATATGATGATACATAGCCCACGATGATGCACAGCCTACCTCGCTAGTGTTGGTCAAGTGCCGTGCGAGTTGTGGGTTTCTAAAGCCTTATTAAGAAGCTTGATTCTTTTAGCCTTGGGTTTATTATTCCCCTTTGATACCTCGTACATATTGCATGTAGCCTATGATATTATGGTAGATTACGTATCCCTTCTCCAAGTACATACTTACGTAGTATGCTCATTATCGTGAGATTGAATATGGGACTTAATTATTCCGCATTCTTGGTGGCCGTTGTGTCCGTGGCTTTCTGGGGTTTGCTAATGAGGTGGTCAGCGTTGCTAAATTAATCATGATTCGAGATGGTTCGTCGTCCTTAGTTAACCTAGTCGTGGCTGAGACTACCCTAGGTACCTAAGATATCATCCACCCGTTTGTTTTGGCGTAATCGTGTGCATATATGTGGTGGCTCAACGCTCAGAATATAGAATTGTATTTGCCCTCATCGGAATATTTATTCATAAGGGTCTTCCCAACGAAAGATCTTAGCCCCGCCCAGCAAAGTGGCTCCGGTACCTTTCTCGACGTGGTATGTCTATCCGTGTCGTGGGAAACTTACGGGATATATACCTAAGGAAATATCTATACATACATACCTATGTACTTCTAAGTGTAAAGACACCTCTATATATCACTCATATAGAACCCTAGATACTATACATATAAAGAGGCAGTCATACATATATTAGATAAATAACCCTTACCTATCTTGACCGCCAATCCGAGGTCCAAGGTAAAGATCTAGTGAAGCGCAGGCTTACATGCTGGACAGCGATCTTGTCGACCACCCAAGGCAGTAATCCCATTGGTTGTTAAGTACATATTTCTCTACATACTATGTACGGATTTATACCTTGGCCTTCCCAAATATGTATGGCATTTCCCGTAAAGTGGAAGCTGATCAACCAATCCTAGCCCAACCCTTTGGAATGGAATCTCTCAAGTCGTGCCTCCAACTGTACGACCGCTAACGGAATTTGATTCACATCACCCATTATAGGCCACTTAACGTATATTCATTACTATATGTGATATCCTTATTGTAAATTCTTCATACATAGAAATGTTCTCTCCGTTCCTCTAATCCGAGTGTATGTAGCATCGCTTTGAAAGATCGCCGATTCGAAATCTGGCGCTTAGCGGGTCCTGGTCCTGAAACAACGTGTATGTACATAGAAAAGAAAGTTGCCGAGATCGTCGTTTAAAACTCGAGTCTCGGGATTGGTATTGGAGTTCGATGAAAGATTAAACTATTGCTTCCATTTTGGATTAACATCCAAACTTACATAGATCAGCCACCGCGCCGCTCTTCTGGTACCTATACATGATACAGGTCCTACGGCCATGTTAGAAGGACTTCCCGCCAACTTGAGGGGCGTCGTGCTAGTGGCCCCCTGGGTCCTTTACCTTGCGGTGTGCGATGTGGTGCTATCTCTACTACTGGTAGTGAAGATATTCGCGCCGGACCTCGTTTATAGCGCGTCGTGCCGCATTGCATACTCCGTGTGGAAGTGGATCCAATTTATCTTTGAGAGTTGCAACGGTGCTCGGATCACTATCTCAGGAGACCGATTGCCCACGAGGGAGTCGGCTGTTGTCGTCTCGAACCATGTTACGTGGGCCGACTTTTACCTGATCCAAAGCTTGGCCCTGCGATCGAGAATGTTGGGGCAATGCCGATGGTTTGCGAAGATCCAGCTGCGATGGGTCCCCTTTCTGGGCTGGGGCCTCTGGGCCATGGGTATGCCGATGGTGACCCGGAATTGGATGCGAGACCAGCGCGAGCTACAGCGCGTCTTCGGTGGTATCGTACGTAGGAGATGGCCGATGTGTAAGTGCCTGCTTGACGTATATACCCACCCGTCTTGACGTATACATACGCGTTCCAAACTACATCAACTGTGGCTGACATGTCTACTACCTGCAGGGCTGATAAGTTTCAGCGAGGCAACACGATTTACACCGAAGAAGTATAATGAATCTATTGTTTGGTGCAAACAGAATGGTCGCCCGCAGCCCTTGCATTTGCTATATCCCCGTACTAAGGGGTTTGTCACCACTGTGCAGCAGCTGAGAGCAGCACCACATGTCAAGGCAGTGTATGACTTTACTATTGCGTATCAGCACAAAGATAAGTTTCACGTGGCCCCGAATATGTGGGAAACTCTTAAGCTCCCGGACCTTAGTGGTTCTCGAGGATATAAATTCCATATTCATATACGGCGATTCCCTCTTGAAGATCTCCCCTATACGGACGAAGAACTAGCAAAGTGGCTGGAGCAGAGATGGGTTGAGAAAGGGGAATGGCTAGATGCCTTGAAGACTAAATGGGCCTCTTAGTAGAGAGAAACATGTGAATTTGGTAGTTCTTATCAAGTTCAAGTAGTAGTTCAAGGTCACGTTTATAATATTAGAATATTCGAGCCGCGTTGGAGAAGACAAAGACTTTAGCAACTAGTCTTGGCGTTGTTCACCGATTACCCTTTGCGTATGACTATGTGATAGCTTGGGGGACGGTCTGTGTAATTAATTGCGTCACGAGTGTGCTGAACGCCATTGCGTGCCATCTTGCTGTAAGGAGTTATCGTATGTATGTACATCTCAAGGGTGTGTTCGGTTTATGTAAGACATGAGCAGCTGTGCCAATAGCCATGGCAGATGTGGCCAGCGGGCCTACGTAGAGTCTAGACCATTACCTCTATCCTGTGTCATAGATCACACTAGCATAGTGGACTATCCCGTGTAGAACCACCTGTATATCATTAGAGGTTAAGAATACGAAAACTGGGGGATACTCCTCCTTTAACTGGGAACACATGGAGAAGTGATATGCTCTCTCTACGACAATATGACACTACGAATATGTATATGGATGTGGTTCATCGAGAGATCTTGGGGGGACTTCATATACGGCAATCTAAGATGATACAGAAACCATTGGTGAGTCGGTAACGGTGATAGGTTTGACATCATTCGCCTAAAGCGAGTTTGCGTAGCATTATGTATAGGATGCCATACCCGTGGACGTGCACGCATAAATTACCGGCTTGGGAGACATTACCAATCGAACTGAATCTGCCTACTGCCTACATAGAGACGAAAAGTATGTTTATGATCGGGTAGTGCAAAGCTTGCAATATACATATGAATTGCTTTCGTTGATCGGGGGGACAAAGTAGCTCATTATCGCGACTGATTAGCAGAGCTGTGCGAGGCGAGCGGGAAACCCATCGTTGATCAGGATTGGCTACCTGGGTAACCCCTGATATGTAAGCGTATGTACGTAGGTATGTATGTACTTCCTGCAGTCTGGCTTCAGCCGTTGCATTGGCGAGGAGAATTGGAGAACCCTGAACCTACATACATTAGGTACATATGAGACTATACACGTATGTGACGATGAGTAGTGGGGTGAGGTTGTTACGATGTCGTGAAAAATTGAGAGCGGGTCCTAGTATAACTCGAGATCGCTCAATATATACTAGGAAATAGATGTTTGTCATCCCATCCCCCCCTTTTTTATTTTCGAGGTCGAGTTTAGGGACAATAGGTGTTGGATTTCAGATAAACCTTTTCCCTTTCTTTCTGTGCGTAGGTTAGGATTATGAAGTGGCTCATGTAGCCCATACATAGTTTTCTGGCGGTATTGGTTATTGCTACATGCAGGTTTGTCTTAGGAAAGTAATGCCTATTGGATAGATAGGATATACGGGAGGGGTAACAGACAGAATTGAAAAGGTCTTTTTTGTATAAACTCGAGGATAAAGGGAATGGTTCGCTCGCCCCTCAGCCGGAAAGGCAAGCCGTGATAGTAGCGGGTTTTTGGAACACCTATGTATCGACCGATGTCTCGTTATGACTATTTAGTATTTAGTCACGTACACAGATGCGTAGACACGTATAGCACTATTAGGAGTTATATCGAAAGGGTGTGTTCGGTTCTATATCCCAGGGTAAGATGACTGCATAAGCAACGGTAATAAAGGCGAACCATCGTTGTCTGGGAATGCAGCATTGACGTAGGAATATCCCTTGGTACTAGGTCGACTGGTCGACTACCTGGTAGGAATTCGTCTTTGGCTTAGAAGTAAGTAAACATTGCTCCAAGACTTGTGGATTTGGATTAGCTACTATGTATGTATATGCAAGAGGATCACTGGACCCATGTCTGTCGCCATTCATTTGTTAGTGGCGCTAAGTAACAACCAGCTAGATATGCCGTCGGAGTGGACTAGCTGCTCCGCGACAGGGAATACCTAAGATCTGTTTGGCCATATCGTTCGTTGGTGAGACTGACTTCTCCTGTAGGTAGGGTAGGTCAGATTCGGATATGGTGGCTACGATGGTTTGTAAGAGGTACTCTATCCGCTGCTATGAATTAGAAGAAACGAATGTATTAATCTTAATCTCTCGTTTTGGTGTGGCTTGTTATAATAGATACCAATAGATGAGATGAGGTAGTAGAATAATACATGGAAGCGATAAAGAAAAGTGTTAGAAAATTCTATAGAATGTTTGTAAAACACTAGGTTCGAAAAATGTCCTATTGCCAGCAGGGAGGGAATTCCGCATGACATGGAACATAACGCCCATGGCGCTAAAGCCTTAGCTGGCGTTAGGTAGGTACGCTGCGTACCGTACCTAACCCAGGGTATCCGGTATGTATGCCACTAACCTTTTTTTTTTTTTTTTTTTTTTTTTTTTTCAATTAAGCCATAAGAAATATATCTCAATAGGGGAAGAACAGATATACCGCGCGGACTAACAAAGCACCTCCCCCCGGTCAGTTTCCCCCGCTCTGGGTTCTCTGGGTCTTTGGGTCAATACAGTATGAATTCAATTCTGTAAACAATATTCACACAGTAAATATTTATTACGGAATATAGCAGTAAACTTTCTTTGCTGACTGACTCTTGGTTTAATACGCGCCGCCCCAAAAAAGGAAGAAAGGCTAATTGGTAAACGACCTGACGACCCGCGCTGTAAATCCGTACTGCCGTATAATCCACTCCAACTCAAAATCAAGTGTATGTTTCTTCAAGAAACTTTACTTGGCTTACCTTAAGGTCCACCCATTTCCTTCTCTAAAATTGAAACTTCTGTACGTTGTAGTCCTCGAAACTACCTAATCTAAGGTAAACATTAAATTGGCCCTTGTATGTATTAATCATTTTTTAGATAACGGCCCTGTGCTTTTTTTATCCTCGTCATTCGTGGCCCCTCCATTAGGCCCCCCCGTCGCTACCGCCCCTTTGTCAACAATACGATCGGATCGCGATAGTACTCGAGCGTACTGGCCCTCTCCGTCCGAGCTGAGAGGCTTGTCCTCAACTCTCAAACAGATCAATCAAACTCTGCCAGAATCGAGTGACCTGACTACCTACGCACGTCGCTCACCGTCATGTCTCGGGTTCTCGCAAGCTTCTGACTCTGGCTTTCTGCCAGATATCTTGGCTTTGCATGAGGTCAATCTTGACCAAGAACCGAATCTTACGATACGCCTACCTCCCTCCCGGACGCGTTTGCGCCTTTGCCAAAGCGTCGAGGGCTTCTTCTCGATCTAAGAAGCTTACTGTCCGATGCCATCATTGCAATTGAGCACCGAACCGGTCGTTTTTCAACAATGGACGAGGATACCAGTAGGCTGGCCCCCCCGGCCGTCACCTCACTCCGTGCTCAAGCCATCGGCCGTTCAATGGAAAGATCTTTCAGCGCAGACATTAGGGAAGAGCGTGAAGAACTTCGTGAGGCCGCAGAGCAGACTTTGAATGTCATTATGGACCTCAATCTCGATGGCTCTATCCGGTGGGTTAGCCCGTCGTGGGCTGATGTTATTGGGACAGATCCAGATTCCGTCGAAGGCACTCCGATCGCCGACTTGATTATTAGCGAGGACAAGTCTGCATTTACCGAAGCTATTGATTCAATGAAGAATGACGATTCACATAGCCACTATATCCGATTTACCGTTGACCTAGGTCCCCTGTCTAAGTTATATCCTATCGATGCTCGCAAGGAGTCTGAAGCAGACCAAAGCAACCCTGCTACGGTCGAGTTAGAGGCTCAAGGGATTATGGTCTACGATCGCACCACTGGAGGCGAAAGTCATGTAGGAAACCGAACTCATATTAGTTAATTCGAAGCTAACTCCTCCCAGACTATGTGGATGGTACGGCCATGGGTCCCACCACGAGAGATAAAAATTGACCTGGCACCGCTACTTGTAGATTCTCTTGGGTCGGGTGCTGAGGTTCTAGCTAGCTATTTAACCCAACTAGCTGAGTCTGGAAACGACGATCCCGCAAAAAACCCGCCGCCGCTACCAGTTTTGTGCCGCATCTGCGAACGCCAAATCCCACCTTGGTGGTTTGAGAAACACACAGATCTATGCCTTCAAGAGCATCGAGCTGAAATGGATGTCCAGATAGCCCAAGAGAATTTAACTGAACACCGGCACGCCATCGTCAAAGTGCTAGATGCGTTAGAGGCCCGCAAGAGCCGTGCTCTATCAGGCGAGCCAGTACCGTTACCTATTGCCGAATACAATGGCTTACCTATAGGGCCTTCCTCCACCACATCCTCTCCCGGGGCAGCCTCTCCAACTCCATCGTCAAGAGATCGGTCGACCGGATTCGGCCATGGTCGCTCTCGATCGTTCGCTGTGCGGCGTCCTCAAGCCCGTATTGTGGAGTTACTCTTGGACCTGTGCGATACCGCTATCGAAATCAGCACACCCGCAATCAAGGAATCCTCGTCGCAAGAATTTCGAACCCAGTCACCGCAATCCGAGTCTCGAATATCTCAGGTGCTCCAATGGCAATCTCCTGGCTCAAACACCCTTGAACAGGAGCAGGGTTTAGCTTTGCTATGCGCAGAAACCGAACGGGTTGCAAAAGAGAAGGTCGAAGCCGTATTTCGCCATAGGAGGATAATCGAGTACGCGGAACGGATCCGGGTTGAACTTACCGTCATAGTGGAGAATTGCATCGAAGATGCCATGCGTAAGGCAGCTCGTATCGCGGAAGGTCGGCTTAGCGACTCGACTGAGGATGAAGAAGGCGAAGAAGAAGAGGAGGAGGAGGACTGCGACGACGATGAGGAAGAAGAGGAAGAAGAGGAGGTCGAAGAGACCCCGGTGGCACAAGAAGAACCTATTTTTGCTGGGTCATTCGATACGGCCTCTTCACTAGCACTTGCTCTCAAGAACGTGGACTTGGGCGATGCAAACGACAAAAGGCGCCCATCTTCTATTATTGAGTCTACAAGGTCAAGTAGCCCTAGGGAATGTCCAACGCCAAAATCCCACCGGGAGGTGTTAGGCACCTCTAATACATCCCGAGCTTCTCGCCGGGGATCTGCCTTGCTTGAGACTGATCCCGGAGACAGTGATGGTAGTGGTAGATCCTCTT